CGCGAGATGGTGGCTTGTTTTTGAATGAGCGTTCTTGGCGCACTCTCCTACTACCTCGGCATCAAGGTGAGACAGGGGAAGGGGGAACTCACGCTCGGTCAGAGCGCGTATGCCTCGAAGCTGTTGGAGCAGAGCGGCATGGCTGAGTGCAAGCCATGCGTAACTCCGATAGAGGAGCGGCTGAAGTTGACGAAGGCCAGCATCATGGTGAAGGTGGATGCAACACTCTACCGGAGCATCATCGATGGTCTACGCTACCTAGTCCACACGAGGCCGGACATTGCGTTCGCCGTGGGCTACGTCAGTCGCTTCATGGAGGATCCCAGAGAGGATCACTGGGCTGCGGTAAAGTGGCTACTGCGTTACGTCAAAGGGACAGTGGATCAGGGGATCATCTTCCCCAAAACCGACGGGAGTAGGCTGCAGCTCACTATATTCAGCGATGCAGACATGACAAGGGACATCGACGGACGACGAAGCACCTCTAGAGTGCTCGTCTTCCTCGGGCCAGCTCCAATTTTATGGATGTCGCTGAAACAGAAGGTGGTGGCGCTATCTACGTGCGAGGCAGAGTACGTAGCAGCGGCCATAGCGGCGTGCCAAGTTGTGTGGCTGCGCCGGCTGCTGGGCGAGCTGACCGACGTGGAAGCTCACCCACCAGCACTGAAGGTGGATAACCAGCCCACCATCGCCCTCGCGAAGAATCCGGTTCTACACGACCAGAGCAAACACATCGACGTGAAGTTCCACTTCCTCAGGGACTGTGTCGATGGAGGGCAGATCGTCATCGAGTTCATTGAAATTGGTCAGCAACTCGCGAAAGTCCTCACCAAGCCACTCGGATGTCTTTGACTCATGGAGTTGAAGGAGATGATCGGCATGGAGGGGGTACAAGGGATAGCAGTAGGATTAGGAGAAGAATTGTTAGATAATCTACTGTCTCCTTATGTGAACACATAGCAAGGGAAGGCGGTGCCGAAAAGGCTCCCTACTGTGGTACTATAGCCGCTGTAGAGGCAGGCGTCGAAGGGCTCATCTGTCGGACTATAGCCACATGTAGGGACAGACGCAGAAGTCAGTCCTGCTGTGTTATCTAGTCACTATTATAGCATGGCAGCTATACTAGGACTAGATGGATAGAGTTGTATATAGTTTTCCACTGCAACTCAACAAAGAGAGTTTAATTTTGCCATCTCCTATACAGGGCTCTGGCCAACGCTGGTGCTTGTACTATGTGTGTATGCTCTGTTCTTCCTCTTCTTCTACCTCTAGCTATAGTTTGTGTGGTCGGACAGCCTCTGTCGTGCTCGGCCGTGGTCGGCAAGACTGGTGAGTGGTCGACTCACCTGAATCGGTGATCCTGTGGGGCTAACACACATGACCATGAGTCTGCCTTCCAGGTGCTTAAATTGCCCTCTATCATTCTTCGGTTTTGGCGTTACCCAAGTTTGACAGACCCTTCACAATTGAAACAGACGCATCCAAATCTGGAGTAGGAGCGTTTCTCATGCAAGACGGACACCCTCTAGCATTCCTAAGCAAAGCATTCGGGCCGAAGACCCGCGGTCTCTCTACGTATGAAAAAGAGTTTGTGGCCATTCTCCTAGCAGTACAGACTTGGCGCGCTTATCTGTAATTTTAGGAGTTCACTATCATGACGGATCAGCGTAGTTTGACACAATTGGGTGATTAGCGCTTGAACACTTATTGTCAGCAGCGGGTCTTTTCTAAACTCCTTGGCCTGCGGTATCGGATAGTTTACCGTCCGGGTATTGATAACCGTGCAACAGATGCTTTGTCATGCCATCCTACCCCTTCTACAGTTTGTGCTTCTATGACTGCTTTAGAGCCAGCCCTGCTGCAACTTCCTTGCTAACAAAGCTGGCGTTGGATCCTAACTCGGTGCCCCATTTCACATTTAATTCTGGGCTTCTGCGGTTTCGTAATCGTATTTGGAACGGCAATGATTCCGCGCTGCAACAGCGCCTGATATCAGAATTCCATGTCAGCGCTTGGGGAGGTCATTCTGGTGTGCCTGTGACCCACATGAGGCTAAACAGTGTTTCGCCTGGAAACCTATTTGCGTTGCTATGTTCATGCCTGTCCTCGCAACTGGAGCTCTTGGTTGTCATTTGCGGAGTTTTGATATAATACGTCCACTCATTCAACAATTGGTCGGACTCTGTTTGAGGCACTCTATGGCTACCCTCCTCGTATGCTTGCTGTTAACCCTTCTATCGCCGTCCATTCAGAGGTTGAGGCCTGGACATCTGATCATCAATGGATGGATCAACTCTTGTAGCAACATCTGTTTCGCGCCAAACATCGAATGAAGAAACAGGCTGACCAACATAGATCTGAGCGTAGCTTTGCAGTTGGTGATCTGGTATACTTGAAACTCCAACCGTATGTGCAAACTTCATTAGCTCCAAGATCTCATCAGAAATTGGCCTTTCGTTTCTTTGGACCTTTTTGCATTACTGCTCGGATCGGTTCAGTGGCTTACCGGTTGGATTTGCCAGCACATTCATCTATACACCTGGTGTTCCACGTCTCTCAACTTAAGAAGGCCGTTGGGGCAACTCATCAGGTAATTGCTAATCTCCCATCTGACTTTGCTCTGAATTTGGTGCCAGAGCAGATACTGGAGTCCCGCCTTGTTCTCGCGGCACCAGTCGCATTCAGCAAGTGTTGGTGAAGTGGAACAACGTGCCACCTTCGTTACTTGGGAAGATTATGAGGCCCTGCGTCAGGAGTTTTCAAGAGTTGTTGCTTGGGGACAAGCAGCATTCCAAGGAAGGGGGAGTGTTAGCAGCATTCCCACCCAGGCTGCTCCCTCGTCATCTGAAGATGGTCCAGCTACAAGCAAGCCTAGTGAGCGGCCCAAGGCGCATAGGCCCAAGAAGGCGAACCCCAAGTACTACGGTGGAGAATGGGTCGGCTGAGGACGCCTGTGTGCGTGACAAGGTGCTCTGCCTCTGTAAACCTTAAAAGAGTCTTGTGAGAGGAGAGAAGCAACTTTTGTCAAACCGAATTCTGTTTCCCTAAACTAAGAGAACTCCTCCGTCGTTCCATTGTTCCTCTTCTTCCTCCGGCTTACTCTGCTCCGATTCCTCCCAATTCTCTCCAATCCCCACTGCTATCTCTCATAGGACGCCTCCCTCCGCTCACTCCTGCACACGCCGCTTGATCAGCGACTCTATCCGCTCGTCCCGTCCGCGCTGCACCCTATCCCCTGCGGCCTCCTCCGCGTTGCCTCCTCTTGTTGCCTCCTCTGTGCTCCATTCCTCACCGGACCCAGTCTACCTTGCCTGCCTCCACCTCGCTGCCTCCTCGCCGCGGCCGGCCCGCTCGCCGCAACTGCCTACATCGAGCTGGCGAGCTGCGGCCGCCTCCACCGAGCCGGTGAGCCTTCACGCCGGATGCTCCAGCAAGGCGAGGGGGACAAGATTCGTGTGACGTCGCGCCCGCCGATTAGTTGCCCGTGCCGCTATTGCACAGCGAGGTCCATGCGTCGCCGTCGACCTCCGCGCCGGCACGCCTCCATTCATGCAAGCAAAGATGATGTTGTAAGAGTATGTTTTAAGTGTTTCAGGATGTTTTATCTAGATGTTGCAATTGTTTTATCTTAATGTTGCAAAAGTAGATTGGAACGTTGTACATGTTGAAGTGGCTATACACGTATGTTTCAAGTATATGTTCTAAATATTTCGTCTCTTTTATGAGACGTATGTTTGCAAGTGTTTTCACACATATGAAATGTTTTAAGGTGTTTTTTGCAAGTGTTTTAAATGCATGTTTCGAGTGTTTCAGCTGTTTTGTACGTATGTTGCAAGTGTTTTATCTTAATGTTTTAAAAGTAGATATGGTATTCAGCTAGTGTTTCAGATGCGTATTTCATGTGCCTTCAGACGTATGTTATAAGTGTTGCACCCGGATATTTCAAAAGTAGATCAGGTGTTGCATCTCTGTCTTTGCTTTTCTGGTGTCTCACCTTCGTCTCGATGTTTCCTCCTGCTCCTCCTCCCGGCGCTGGCTGGCATCTACCGCCCCTCCCTCTCTTATAGATGCTGGCGTAGCCACCTGTTGTAGCTGCTGGCTGCGTGCATGCGTGTGAGAAGCGAATGGGCGCGAGCGGAGACTCCCCACGTGGGGCGACGCGGGACTGAGTAGCGGGTACGGGATGCGGATGCACAGGGGGAGATGGAGTGCAGTGGATGAGCCAGGCGCGTTAAGCCGTTGAGCAAATGAGTAGCCAAGCGCGGCACATCAGGGGAAGGGCCAGGGGGCTCCGCTCCCACGAGCTCGTGCTCCCCGGTCCCAGGTGCGTCGTGGCATGGGCGTTGGGCCCCGGGAGGACGCCGCGATTGCCCTCTTCTCCAGGCCGCGGTCCCGGTCCCGCCGTTTGGCTGGTGCCAGCGCGCGCAGGCTTGCAAGTTGCAATGGTGGAGGAACGGAGGATGCATGTTTTGATGCTTAGACCCCTGCCTCATCAGTCATCACTGCACATTCCTGTTAGGCTCCCGGAACCAGGATCGCGAATATTCGTTAATTCTCCGGTCTCCAGTACAACACGGCGAGGCAGAACGCAGAAGGCAGAACAAGCCGCGCGGTACAACTGCTGCAGTTCGCAACATAACCAAGCCACTGTCTTCTAATAGTTCAATTCGATGGAAATCATTGGGAATGTAGGTTTAGTTCCAACATAATTTGCGAGGAATTAGAAGGTCGGTAGCACGGGTATAACGATCTTCTGCAGTGATGCACCTCGTACCAAGAGCCGGGTCTCTCTTATTTCTCTCTGGATGCGTCTGCATCTGCATATATATGTAGGGGTAATGCACGCCCTGGCTGTTGCTTCAGCTGAAGCTCCTGCTGAGCATCTAGCCTGGCTCAGTGACGCAGCCTGTGGCTGCTTCAGAAAACACTGCTCAAACAGACGCCGGGGAGGTGCGCCCTTTGATCTGCAGTGCTGCACTTGCGGGCGTACCTGCCAAGTTTCAGCTCTTGCCGCCTTGCTCTTCATCTGCAACATGCAACGCAATGCACGTAGGCACTGGTGTAAGCTGCTTATTAATGCAGATAGTCAATGGGAAACGATCGGTTGTCTAGACATGTACTCGTGAATTACCTCGGTGTGGTCCTCTACGACAAGAACAATGCTTGAAGTAGCTCTGTAAAGGCCTGGCAGGCACAGGGAAGAATTTCCCAAGATAGGCGAGAGGCCAACTGGATCCAAAATGGGCACAAATCAGAATCTAGGATGATTGGTCTGTCGTCAAATCAGACTCAGTGCTTCAAAGAGCAAATTAAACGATGGTTCAGTAAGTTGATTCTAGTCAACAGTGTCCTGTATTTGACTTGTTGGCTGACATAGCAGAGAACATAACTGCAAGTTATATACTTCGGTTGATGCAAATGTGATAACTTTGAACATTTTTTGTAGGTATATACCATATACTTCAAGATTAGCATTATAAATTGTTGGCAAAGCATGCTGCAGGGATTTTGACTGAAACACAAAAGTAGCATACATGCATACCTCACTGCGCCAATAGCCACTGACAGCAACCATAGTCTCGAATTAAGTTTAGCAGTATCGAAGAACTTCCCGAGGAACTCAATCATCAAGATCTGACAGAGAGCGTTAATACTTGATAATTGCCGTTCGTCAAACCATGCAAAACTAAAAGCATTCTAATAGCATGTTACCTGAAGCACGGTAGTTGCACCAACTATGGCCATAAAAAGGTGGTTGTTTGTAACTCCCTTGAAGACATTCTTCTCTTCAGGCTTGCGAGCATTGAACTCATTGAAGATCTGACACAAATGGCACAGCAGGTATGGGAAAACAATTCTACTGTGATGTCTAATAGACTTACCTGTTGAAGAATAAGGCATTTTCATATTTATTTTAATCCATAAAAATGACGCAATAAAAATAAGAGTGACGTCATGAATAAAATGACAGAAACAATTCATGACAAGTGTTAACATGATGATAAGGCAAATTATAGAACCGAAACATATGTGAAACATTGTTTTACACAGCTGAAGCATCACAGACATGATCATAAATATAAAAGATATGTTCTCAAATATCAAGATCATGATGATCACAAAATTAAAAGGAACCAGAAAAACAGTACTAGCATAATCATCCAAATCAACCAAACAGAGCATGCTGAATATGAAAGCAGTATTGCCTAGAAACATCATGATATTGATAATGAAACTCAGAAGAGGGTGAAGGAGATTATACCCTGCGGCGGAGCCGCTCGCACCAGGAAAGGCCATGGTGGTGCTTTGTTGCTGTAGTCGTCCCGCTCGATGCAGTGCAGAAAAGGACGCCGTGAAGACGCACCGCTACAGGTTCACCAGCGAGTAGTCGTGCCACCACCGACACTCCCCAAAAACGTAATCGCCCGTCTTCACCCGAGCAGGTGAAGCCCACGACGGAGACGCGTTCCGGAGGCCTACTCTTCCATCTCTGGTGCTCGCCGGAGGTGGAGCGGGAAAAACTTGCGCCTGCTGGAAAGTGGTGTACTTCGCCAAGAGACGTTAACCGAGAGGGGAGGATTTATCTTATAGGCGGAGGCCAGAAGAGGTGAAGCCGGCGGCACCGAGGGGTCACACCTCCCCCTGCGCCGAGAGAGACGGAGACGGAGAGCCAGAAGTCACGGGAGTTAACAGAAACTCCTCCAATCAATTCGTCACAGGAGTTAACAGAAACTCCTCCAATCAATTCCATCAAAGGAAACTGAGTGACAAAAATAAAGGCCTCGCCCGCCCGTCCGCTCGCTCGCCGCCTGCCTGCTCGCTCGCCGCCTGCCTGCCTCGCCACGCCCACGGGCTCGGGCCGGGCCGGGCGGCGGCGGCGGCGGCGCGCGCGCGCGTGTGGCATCCAGGTGATTCACTTTTACTTCTCAAATAGATCGGTCAATGATCAAGTATTTAAGTAGAGTCGCCTCTCGATTAAATTCTCATATGGTATAAAAATCATTAATGCACATGTACGGACCATAGAGTTTAATAGAGATATTAAATAAATGGGCCAAGCCCATAATATCTAACAATCCCCACCAAACTCTAGGGTACGCAGTTTGGAGTTCTCAGAACCACATTCCTTTTATATACCAGTGTTTCGATGGAGATTGTTAAGTTGAACATCCATCTAGAAAGCTAGCTACACTCATCCACAACTGAACAATGGACAGAACCTTGAATTGACAGTTTTGTGCGAGATGAGTTTCACATAACCTCTTAACTGATACTAGGCTGCCAAGTGCCTTCCCTCTGTTTTGAAGCATATAAGTCACACTTCGAGGCCTTTTCATGAGCATCTAGAGATTACCCACATTTCATAGATTGTGACTAGCAATCGAGCTCATATAGGTGTGTTACTTATAGGATGTTCTGTAGGACAACATTCCCGCTATACCAAGCCGCTCGGATCACATTAAGAACTTAATCATCCTGCCTAACAGTATTGGAGAGACGGTGCATCTCCAACGAACTGAGCTATAATCTAAGGGGTCTCTCCCTCAGTCAATCAACAGCTTGTTTCGCCATCCTAATTCACGGGATCTCCGATCACATAGGACAGGTTACCACTGTTGATGGCTCTATGTGGGTCTCAAACCTAGTTCCCTCGACGCACCTTCTATCACATTGCGTGACAGACCCTTAATGAATTGATCTGCCAGATTATTTGATGTATGGACATAGTCCAATGCAATTACTCCGGAGTTTCTCAGTTTTCTGACAGTCTTCAAACGTCTCTTCACATGCTTTGTGGACTTCATATTATCCTTAGAACTGTTTACCTTAGTGATCACAGTTTGATTATCATAGTTCATGGAAATTGCCGGGATTGGTTTCTCAACAATCGGCAAATCCATTAGGAGATCACGGAGCCACTCTGCCTCAGCACTAGTGGTATCTAATGCGGTCAGTTCTGCTTTCATTGTAGACTTCGTTAAGATAGTCTGCTTGCAAGACTTTCAAGAAACAGCACCACCTCCAAGTAGGAACACGTATCCACTCGTGGCATACAGCTGGTCCGCATCAGAAATCCAATTAGCATCACAATAACCCTCTAGTACCCTCGGATACCCGGAAAAGTGAATGCCGTAACTCATTGTTCCTTTCAAATAGCGCAGCACTCTCTCAAGAGGATTCCAGTGAGTATCTCCCGGATTTGACACAAACCGGCTCAGTTTGCTTACAGCGAACGAGATATCAGGCCTGGTTGCGCTAGCTAGGTACATGAGAGAACCAATTATCTATGAATATCTCAATTGGTCTCTTGCAATTCTGTGATTCTTCCTCAAATGAACGCTTGAATCGTACGGAGTAGGAGCAGGTGTACACTCACTGTACCCAAATCAGTTCAAGACCTTTTCCACATAGTGAGACTGCATAAGAGTTACCCCACCATTTCCTTCCACCCTTGAAAGCTTAATGTTGAGAATAACATCAGCCTCACCCAAGTCTTTCATCTCAAAGTTACTCGACAAAAAATCTTTTACTTCTTTGATCACATTTAGATTGTTGCCAAATATTAATATATCATCCACATATAGGCATAGTATCACACCATCACCACCACCAAACCGATAATATACACATTTATCAGCTTCATTCACAACAAAGCCGGCTGATGTTAAAGTTTTATCAAACTTCTCATGCCACTGCTTGGGGGCTTGCTTTAGGCCGTACAGGGACTTCAATAACTTACAAACTTTACCCTCCTAACCATTTGCAATAAACCCATCAGGCTGATCCATGTAGATCTCTTCCTCAAGCTCTCCATTTAGGAAGGCTGTCTTAACATCCATCTGATGAATGAAAAGATCATGTGAGGCAGCCAAGGATAGCAACACACGAATGGTCGTCAGTCGAGAAACAGGTGAGTAAGTATCAAAGTAATCTTCACCTTCCTTCTGTGTATAACCCTTAGCAACAAGCCTAGCTTTATACTTCTCAATTGTACCATCAGGCCTCAGCTTCTTTTTAAACACCCATTTGCAGCCCACAGGTTTGCAACCAAATGGACGGTCAACCACTTCCCACGTCCCATTGGACATAATGGAGTCCATCTCACTTTGCACTGCCTCCTTCCACATGTCAGAATCAGGAGAAGAGTATGCCTCAGAAACGGTTGTGGGAGTGTCATCCACGAGATATATAATAAAGTCTTCTCCAAAGGATTTTGCAACTCTTTGCCTCTTACTCCTTCGAGTGACAGTATTATCATCCTCCTTAGGATTTTGCTCAAGCTCATGGGTGTTATCATCAGCGTGTATATTCGATTCATGAAATTCAGGAACAGAATCATGACTAGACACGCTAGATGCACCTATTTTCATTGGAAATTCATTCTCAAAGAACGTGGCATCTCTAGACTCCATGACCGTTCCAATAGCCATATCAGGAGCACTAGAATTTATTATTAAAAACCGATAGCCCACACTATGAATGGCATAGCCGAGGAAAACACAATCTACAGTTTTTGGTCCAAGCTTTCACTTTTTGTTTATTGGCACGTTCACTTTGGCCAAACAACCCCAAACGCGAAGATAAGAAATATTTAACCTCTTTTTCTCCCATTCCTCAAATGGAGTGATTTCTTTGTTCTTTGTGGGCACTCTATTTAGGACATGATTCGCAGTTAAAATTGCCTCACCCCACCATTCCTTAGATAAACTAGCTGTCTCTAACATGGCATTCACCAAGTCAGTTAGAGTGCGGTTCTTTCTCTCAGCAATCCCATTAGATTGTGGTGAGTATGGAGGTGTCCTCTCATGGATTATACCGTGCACCGCGCAAAACTCAGAAAATTCATTAGAGAAATATTCTCCCCCGCGATCGGACCGCAACCGTTTGATTTTCTTTTCAAGTTGATTCTCAACCTCAGCTTTAAAGGTTTTAAAATAATGTAATGCCTCATCTTTTGTTTTAATTAGGTACACATAGCAATATCGAGTACAATCATCTATGAACGTTATGAAGTATCTCTTACCACCTTTTGTCAAAATTCCGTTCATTTCACAAATATCGGAATGGATGAGTTCAAGTGGTGCCAACTCTCTCGCCGCAACTGCCTTGTGAGGCTTGCGAGGTTGTTTTGCCTCAACGCATGTATGGCATTTGGAACTTTTGGCAACGTCAAATTTAGGAATTAAATTCAAACCAGCTAAGCGGGACATGCAACCAAAATTAACATGACATAATCGAGAATGCCAAACATTCATCTCAACATTAACGTTATTAACGACATTATTCACTGCAAGAGGTAAAATATCAACCAACGACAAGCGGAACAAGCCTCCGCTCTCATAGCCTTTTCCAACAAAGGTTCCATACTTCGACATAACACATTTATTCGACTCAAACACAAGTTTAAAACCGTCTCGACATAGCAGAGAGCCACTAATAAGATTTTTCCTTATTGAGGGGACATGATGCATGTTCTTGAGTTGCACGGTCTTCCTCGAAGTAAGCTTCAGATCCACCGTACCAACACCATGAACACCAGCACGCGTGCCATTCCCCATCAGCAAGGCTCCACTCCTCCCGACCTGGTAAAAAGAAAACAAGGACTTAACAGCACACACATGTATATTTGCACCTGTATCAACCCACCAATCAGGTGAGGAACAAACTGTAAATGCAGATAAATTACCGTACCCAGAAGCGTCTGCATCAGTCTCAATGGTATTGACTGTCTTCGCCTTTGGTGGAGGCTTCCACTTAGCCTCAGGACACTCTCTAGAGAAGTGCCCAGTGTTTCCATAAGTGAAGTAGTTCATCTTTGCCTTGTCTAATCCCATCTTCTTATTATTACCTTTCTTGAAGGAGATAGTGAGTTTCTGCTTAAGCTCCTGCTGGGGCTTCTTCTTTTGTGGCTTAGGACGAAACTTTTGCACCACATGTGCACTAGTAGTCGCCTCACCATTCCCGCCCTTGCTCTTTCCCTTGACATCCTTTGCTCTTGCCTTGTCCTCAACATCAAGAGTGCCAACAAGTTCAGCAATGCTAAACTGCTGCCTCTTGTGTTTCAAGGTAGTAGCAAAATCAGTCCAGGAAGGTGGCAGCTTAGCAATAATGCACCCTGCCATGAACCTGTCAGGAAGAGGACAGCCGTACAACTCCAATTCCTTCACCAGTCCCTGTATCTCATGAGCCTGTTCGACTACAGGACGGTTATCAACCATCTTGTAGTCATGGAACTGCTCCATGATGTACAGCTCAGAACCGACGTCGGAAAGACCGTACCGGGCCTCAAGAGCCTCCCACACAGCTCTACCAGTCGGGAGTGGTATGTAGGCATCAACCAGAAAGTCACTGATGATGCTCAACAGTGCAGCCTTGCACATGGTCTCAGCATGTCCCCAAGCCTGCTCATCCTCATCGGATCTCACAGTAGCAGGCTGCTCATTGAGCACATGACCACAGCGCATGGCTGACAACCACAGAAGGGCTTTCTCACACCACCTCTTTGTAGTGAGTGCCCTCAAACGGCGTAGGCTTTAGCATGCCCGCAAAGCCAACAGATGAAAATGGCCTGAAATTACGTTTTTGGAATGTTGAAGAATAAGGCATTTTCATATTTATTTTAATCCATAAAAATGACGCAATAAAAATAAGAGTGACGTCATGAATAAAATGACAGAAACAATTCATGACAAGTGTTAACATGATGATAAGGCAAATTATAGAACCGAAACATATGTGAAACATTGTTTTACATAGCTGAAGCATCACAGACATGATCATAAATATAAAAGATGTGTTCTCAAATATCAAGATCATGATGATCACAAAATTAAAAGGAACCAGAAAAACAGTACTAGCATAATCATCCAAATCAACCAAACAGAGCATGCTGAATATGAAAGCAGTATTGCCTAGGAACATCATGATATTGATAATGAAACTCAGAAGAGGGTGAAGGAGATTATACTCTGTGGCGGAGCCGCTCGCACCAGGAAAGGCCATGGTGGTGCTTTGTTGCTGTAGTCATCCCGCTCGATGCAGTGCAGAAAAGGACGCCGTGAAGACGCACCGCTACAGGTTCACCAGCGAGTAGTCGTGCCACCACCGACACTCCCCAAAAACGTAATCGCCCGTCTTCACCCGAGCAGGTGAAGCCCACGACGGAGACGCGTTCCGGAGGCCTACTCTTCCATCTCTGGTGCTCGCCGGAGGTGGAGCGGGAAAAACTTGCGCCTGCTGGAAAGTGGTGTACTTCGCCAAGAGACGTTAACCGAGAGGGGAGGATTTGTCTTATAGGCGGAGGCCAGAAGAGGAGAAGCCGGCGGCACCGAGGGGTCACACCTCCCCCTGCGGCGGGAGAGACGGAGAGCCAGAAGTCACGGGAGTTAACAGAAACTCCTCCAATCAATTCGTCACAGGAGTTAACAGAAACTCCTCAAATCAATTCCATCAAAGGAAACTGAGTGACAAAAATAAAGGTCTCGCCCGTCCGCTCGCTCGCCGCCTGCCTGCCTGCCTCGCCACGCCCACGCCCACGGGCTCGGGCCGGGCCGGGCGGCGGCGGCGCGCGCGCGCGTGTGGCATCCAGGTGATTCACTTTTACTTCTCAAATAGATCGGTCAATGATCAAGTATTTAAGTAGAGTCGCCTCTCGATTAAATTCCCATATGGTACAAAAACCATTAATGCACATGTACGGACCATAGAGTTTAATAGAGATATTAAATAAATGGGCCAAGCCCATAATATCTAACATTACCAAGCTGTTAAGAAGTTGTAGAGTACATATGATTATTGGCATAATTTACAGGGCGATATATCCATTTTTTTAAAGAAAAAAGTGGATATATGGCAAGCGTATGTTGAAGCCGCATGAAGGAAACTTTTAAATTGGAGAGCGACCAACTTACTTGGCAAAAGACAAATGCATTGAAGACAAAGGTATTTTTAATTTTCCCAGCATGCTCCCAACTTTCATTCTGTCAACGAAGAATCCTTTTGCCATCAAAATTGAATATGAGAAGAACTGCTATCTGGTACAGTGCCTGCAATGAAGTTAGATATGTAAAAATGAAGGGCCCCATTCAGCAGGGTCTACTTCAAGACATAAAGATGAGTAGGCAACTAGAGACCTGGATAAAAAGGTTTCTCCACATAACGTTTGTGACAAGAGGTTCCCTGCGGAAGTAAATTAGAAAGTAAATATCATGCTGCTTTTGCACAACACCTAACGACGAAATAGAACAGAGTACACAAAACAAAAGTGTTGATAGCTATCAAGGATGTTATGCCATGCCTTCGACCGACGGGATGCCTCTTCATTAGGTTGTCTGTTGGTGGTTCGGTTGCTAATGCAAGAGCTCCGAGTGTGTCCATAATAAGGTTCACCCAAAGAAGCTGACAAGGGGGGAACAATAAGTAGATAAAAACAAACAAACTGGGCATCATTTGCAAGAAATGTACCAAATAAGATTCCTGCAAGGTCTTACATTAAGTGCTTTGCTATACTTTCTAGAAACATAAAAATCTATTGTAACAATCTGTATCCAATTCCTTTAATAAATAATATGCATCCAATATTTCTAATAGACAGCAAAGATTTGCCATAGCCCTTCTCATGCACGTGACATGCTAAACCACTCCAGTAACAAGGTAGAGGAGCTATAAAAAATTTAAAAGTAAGATTAATATTGTAGTTTACAGGTCAAAAGGAAAATCTGAACCTCAACAGCATTCAGAGGAATATCCCCGGAGGACACAGCAGCAACCACATTTATAACTAGGGCAGCAACATTAACAGTAAGTTGGAACTGGATAAACTTCTGAATATTTGCATAAACAGACCGGCCCCATCGAACAACCTGCAAGGAGAAATTTAAAATAAACATTCACGCTCTAAAGTCTAGACAGATGTTATAAATAATCGTTAAGTATACTCAAAGCAAGCGAAGTATAAAATCAGCAAGAATATCTGCAGGTATGGGCTGTTACGGTAACTGTAAACATTTATTATATCGTTTTAATGCATTTTGTCACCTAACAGAAAGATCACAAAAAGAAACATAACGAGTGATTTGATAATATGTCACGTTGACAAACTTTTTTTTTTTTTGAAACAATGGCAGGAGCTCTGCCTTTCAATTAAGACGAATGAAGTTTATATACAAGCAAAAGGTAGCCAAGCATGGCGCCAAACACCACGAAAGGTTACCCACCCATGCAACGCGACAGAGTACACACTACCATGAGTCATCGTTGCCGAACATAGTTGCAAAGCAGCTAGCAGCTCCGACTTCCCATGGCAAAACACCGACAACCCATCATAAGATGTCAGTCTATCGGGCCCGAAGCAGTAGGCTGCAGCAGGTCATCGTTGCCGAGCTCAAACGGCCCCGCAAAGAGCAGCTCCGACTTCCTGCCAAGATCCCACGCCCCGCCCGCGGCGATTGCCGAGCCTCTAAAGCTGAAGACCCAGCCGTCGGAGAAGGAGACGTGCATTAAAAAAAACATTTGACAAACTATGACATTATGCATGCCGATAAGCAAAGGCATCATGCATGCTGTGACGAAAGTATACTGGGACACATCACATCTTGGTTAGAATGCCTTATACTTTGAAGTTACAGAAGATAACCTTGACCACAGAGGTGAAGTCATCATCTAAGATTATAATGTCTGAGCTTTCCTTGGCAACTTCTGTTCCTGATATTCCCATTGAAAGACCTATATCAGCCTATATGACAAAAAGTTCAGGATTAGGAGAAGGTTATTGCAGGTTGATTATCAAAGGAATGATAAAATTTTGGACTGGCCTCATGTAATGCAGGAGCATCATTTGTGCCATCACCAGTAACAGCTACAACATGGCCCCTTCTTTGTCATTTGGGGAAGATCTTCCCATTACCTGCAACAGAGAGTTGGTTGAGTGACTGATGTTTAGAAAATTCAAAAGTACCTCTCATGTCATTGACGAGCTTTAAATTAGGGGAAATCCCATTTTAATACCCCAAACAATCCACTTTATCCTTTTAACCCACTATTTCAATTGGTCCAATCTGCCCCCTAATGATTTTGTCATTGTTGTTTCTCCATGTACAACTTGAGTTTTAAGTTCAAATTTTGTGGGGTGATAAATAACATGACATCCTATGTTAGACAAATACATTAAGAATTTTCATCATATTGTTCATTTTTTTTTGTATTTCTATAGTTAATTTAGTATTACATGCTCCTAATCTATGAAAATAATCATGAAAAATTCTTAATATACCTTTCTTTGACATAAGTTATGTCACTCTACAAATTCTGAACTTAAAACTAAATTTGTATAGGAAGAAACAAAAAAAGGAAAAACTTACTGGGGTAGATTGGAATAATTGAAATAGTTTGGGGAGTAAATTGAGCTGACATTTTATTGATGGGATTAAGTGAACAGAGTGGGATTGTTCAGGGTAGTAAAATGGGCTTCTTCCTTTATTAAGTCCAACTAATCAACTAGTTTTTTTATATGGTCTAGTAATGACATGTTATTAATTAAAATAAAAGGTGTTGCAAATGTTCGCTACTTGCATTATAAAACAAAGGAGAACCATCAATTTTCAGCACAAAGCATCATTGTAGTTCAGCCACATGCATTTTAACTTGAGCCTTCTTTGTCATGGATAAGAGTAGCTCCAAATTTGCCATAGATCATACAGTAAAACATTTTGATGAGTAGATAGGGTCTTATGTGGAGCTCTAAGTTGGTTCAATTTTAGATAATGGAGATAATTTGCAGCCTTTGCACTAATCAGGGATGCACACAGCTAGTTATTCTTTAAATTGTGTGTGCTAGGATTTGAACCAACAACTCCACCATGACACCAAAGGTGCGATGCTATATAAGTCTATCAATCATTGGATACAATGATGTGTTGTATTGAAATCCATACTAATCATATATAAGTGGAAAATGTACATTATTAAGTATTTAAGTATATTATTGTGATTTTAATATAAATGGAATCTACTGTGGCATATAAATCCTAAAATGTAACATAATGAGGGAGAGAGATCAATGGAGATTTACTGTAATTTTATCAGCAATATCTTCTCGTGCAGTTTCAGACATCTCGCGGAACACTTTTCCTTCTATTACATTAGGTTCTGATGCAGCATCTTTTGCGTAATATTCCACACTCCACAGCAATGGCCTTTGCTGTTCCAACATTATCTCCTGTGACCATGCGTACCTAAAGTAAAAAAGGGGGACAAAATGAAACATTGAAATAAATATTTAAGTCATGAGAAGCAAATTATGTTCATAAAATGAATTTAACATTAGCACATTGTAAGTACTATTATTCAAAGCACAATATGAGCTAAAGAGATGGTCATACGCCCTCAGGTGCATTCGCAAAAAAGCTAAAGAGATGGTCATGTGGTATGGCGCCGGGCTTTACTCCGAAGGAAGTACGGAGGAGATCGAGGAGCGTGGGAGCGTGCAAGGGTTCGGCCGGCAGGAGCCGTGATTGCGGCGGCAAGAGGTGACGAAGAATAGGGAGACGCCGGGTGCCCAAGGGTGACTTGCAGTCACAATCCCAGGCTACCTTTATTGATCCATAGAGTTTGATACATATAGGACTCAACTTAACCAACTATCCCTATCTTTTAGGACTCTGTAATCTCAACTAACCAAACTCTAATGACTCTCAATCCAAACTAACCCAAACTCTAAATAACGCAACCTGTGCGCCCCTGGTGACCACGCCCAGCTTGGCACACGGTTGAGTCTAGCCACTTCGGCGTCTATAAACTCTGCTGACCATAACATCTCTCCCTCCCTTGGGAAACAGCTCGTCCGCGAGCTAGAAGGAAGGGTGGGCTTCCCGAAATGCAGGAACCGGCTCCCACGTTGCCTCGGACGCAGGCATGCCAGACCATTCGACGAGGACGTGCCAGACGCCACGACGAAGTTCAGAGCGCAGTATGTGTTCCGGTCGTTGGAGAGGCCGGCCGTGGTGAAGTGGAGGAAGCACAGGCTCAGACGTCGGCGGTGTACCACGGAACGGCTTCAACACCCCGACATGGAAGACGTCGTGAATTCGGGCGCTCTCCGGAAGACGAAGCCGGTAGGCCACCTCGCCCACCCGCGCAATCACTTGGAAAGGGCCAGCATACTTGGGCCCCAACTTGCCGCGACCGCCAGGGGCTAGGGACTGCGTGTGTCGATGAAGCATGCGGAGCAGTACCCAGTCCCCGACGGCAAACTCCAGGGCACGGTGCTTGGGGTCGTAGAAGCGTCGAGCGTACTCCTGCGCCTGGAGGAGGCGAGCGCGTACCTCATCCAAGAACTCATCCCGGTTAGACAACATGGTGTCGACGGCCTCCGTTCGCGCCCCCCCTGGAACATAAGGCAGCAGGTCGGGCGGAGGACGGTCGTAGACCACCTGAAACGGAGTAGTCTGAAGCGTCGTGTGATATGTGGTGTTGTAACAGAATTCCGCCCACGGCAGCCAGTCCAGCCAGTCACGAGGGCGGTCACCCGTGAGACATCTCAAGTACATGGTTATGGCCTTGTTCACCGTTTTGGACTGCCCGTCCGTCTGTGGGTGGAATGCAGTGCTCATCCGAAGCTGGACGCCGGCGTGGCGAAAAAGATCGCGCCACACATGCCCCGTGAACACTGGGTCACGATCGCTGACGATGGACTCGGGAAATCCATGGAGGCGCACAATGTCGTGGAAGAAAGCTCACGCCATGGACGACGCCGTGTAGCGGTGGCCCAAGGGAATGAAGTGCACATACTTTGAAAACCTGTCAACCACGGTTAGGAGATCACTTTTACCGTGGACCTTTGGAAGCGCCTCAATGAAGTCGAGGGAGATATCTGCCCAGACTCACGAAGGCACCGGTAAGGGCTGCAGCAGTCCCGCGGGGTGCAACGTCTCCGTTTTGTTCCGCTGGCACGTGGAGCAGGAACGCACGAAGTCGCCGATGACGCGCCGATCATGCTCGACGTAGAACTCGGTACGGAGCCACCATAGAGTCTTTTGGATGCCCTCGTGGGCTCCTGTGTGGGTGAGCTGGAGGACGTCGTCCAGGAGAGGGGACAATGCAGGCACGAAGACACGTCCGTCGTGGAGTATGAGCCCCTCGTGGATGGTCTAGGAGGCCCCGTGTGCACCGGCGGCCACGGCGTCGTGACGTGCGCGCAACGTGGTGTCGGTGTCTAGCTCCTGGCGGAGGTCATCGAAGAACCAGAACGTTAGAGTCGAGAGCGCCGCGAGGGACGCCGCATCAGTGTCGCAGAGACCCGCCAAGAGCGGGGTGTCGCCGTCATGGCGGGACAGCGCTTCGGCCACCACATTCGCCTTGCCGGGGTGGTACTCAATCCTGAAATCATACCCGAACAATTTGCTCACCCAGTGATGTTGTGGAATTGTCGAAAGCCGCTGGTCGAGCATGAACTTGAGGGCGTAGTGATCAGTCTGGACGACGAACGCGCCCCCCAAAGATATGGGCGCCAATGGTGGACCGCTTGGACGAGACCGATGAGCTCGCGCTCATACGCAGCCGCTTTGAGGTGCTGAGCCACAAAGGGCTGACTGAAGAACGCGGTGGGGTTCTCGTCTTGATGAAGGACAGCACTGAAGCCGGAGCCGGACGCGTCGTAGTCGACGATGAACGTGGCATTGAAGTCCGGGAGATGGAGCACTGGCGCCGCACACAGCGCGGCCTTGAGGGCCATAAATGCCGCGTCGACGGTCTCTGACCACCGAAACCCCTCTTTCCGCAAGAGATGCGTCAATGGGGCGGCGATGGTGCCGTAGTCTTTGATGAACCGGTGGTAGTAGCCGGCTAGCCCGAGGAAACCGCGAAGGCCACGCGCCGAATGCGGCTGCGGCCATGACTGTACAGCCGCCACCTTGGTCGTGTCCATGGCCACCCCCTCAGCCGTGATGACATGGCCAAGGTAGTGGACCGACGAAGTAGAGAAAGAGCACTTGGACCGCTTGAGATGCAGCCGGTGCTCGCGGAGGACGTCCAGGACAGCGCGGAGATGCTGTAGGTGCTCGGTCCACATGGAACTGTAGACGAGGATGTCGTCGAAGAAGACGAGGACGCTGCGTCGTAGGAACAGCTTGAGGACGAGGTTCATGAGCGCCTGGAACGTCGAAGGCGCGTTGGACAAGCCGAAAGGCATGACCAAGAACTCGAAGTGGCCGTGGTGTGTCCGGAACTCCGTCTTTTCCACATCAGCGGGGTCGACGCGGACCTGGTGATAACCTGAACGGAGGTCCAACTTGGTGAAAAATTTCGCGCCATGGAGCTCGTCCAGAAGCTCTTCGACGACCGGGATCAGGAACTTATCTTTCACCGTCACGGCGTTGAGTGACCTGTAGTCGACACAAAAGCGCCAAGTCCCATCCTGCTTCTTGACAAGCAGTACCGGCGCGGAGAAGGGGGAAGTGCTGTCCCGTATGACCCCCTGCTGGAGCATTGCCTCGCACTGCCTCTCCAGCTCATCCTTCTGGAGGTGGGGATACCTGTAGGGGCGGACAGCGATGGGTTCGGTGCGGGCTTCAAGTGGATCCGATGATCACAGGGGCGCGTGGGTGGGAGCCCTATGGGCTCCGCGAACATGTCGGCGTAGGTGTCGAGGAGACGGTCCAGGAGGGCTGGCTCCGCCCCCTTGTCGGTGAAGATGTGGCTGAATAGTAGCTGCTCGGCGCGGCCCGCGCTTGGCAAGCCAATGCCCGTCCACAGGACGCGACGGCTACGAAGGACGAATGCCATGCGAAGACCCTCAAAGTCCCACAGGATCGGCCCCAGGGTCCGCAGCCAGGCGATCCCCAGGACCATGTCGTAGCACTCCAGTGGGATGGAGAAGCAGTCCACTGGGAAGACTTCTTCGCCGATCTCAAGCTTGGCGACGCGGGCGAGACCACGGCATGCGACTTGGTCCCCGTTCGCCACCACCACGTGTGCACCGTGGCTGTCCTGAAGGTGTATGTCCGCGCGCCTAGCCGCCTCTGTGCTGATGAAGTTGTGAGTTGAACCGGAGTCTAGGAGCGCGGTGAACTGGTGTGCGCCAATGTGGACGTGGAGCTGCGCGGTCTTTTCGGCCCGGATGCTCGTGATGGCGGACAGAGAGATCATAGGCGCGTCGGGGTCGAATGGCGGTGCAGCCGGGGCGTCCTCCGTGTCTCCAGCTCCTCCACGATGTAATCTGAGGCCTTGAGGTAGAAGAGCCTGGCATACTTGTGCCCCTTTATGTATTGTTCATTGCAATTGTACCATAAGCCCATCTTGCGCCTTTCCGCCATCTCCGGTGTGAGGCGCTTGAAAGCGCTGATGTCGAAGAAGTGGCATTGGAGACGGCTAGTGCAGGCAGCGCGGCTGGTGCGCCAATAGGGCAGCGTGCCAAGCGCGGTGCTGGCAAGGCAGGAGCTTGCGAGGCGTTGCGGCGCTCATAAGCGCGCGCAATCCGCATGGCATGCTGCAGGTCCTGTGGCTCGAGGAGCTCGACGTTGACGCGGATGTGTTCCGGCAGACCGCCGATGAACAGCCGTGCCTTCTGTAGCGTAGAGAGATCGCCGGCGTGTGCGGCACGGGCTTGAAACTCCGCCATGTACGCGTCCACCGATCCTCCTAACGGCAGCTGGGCCAAGTTGGCTAGGTGGTTGGTGCTGAGGGCCGGGCCGAAGCGTTGCTGACACATGCGACGGAAGTCCGGCCACGCGGGGCGGCCTATGTCGGCTTCCAAAACGAGGTACCACTGTTGAGCCATGCCCGTGAGGTGATACGATGCGAGCCAGACCTTGTCCGCCTCCCGTGTCATCTGGCCGCGGGAAAACTGCTCACACTTGTTGAGCCAGCCGAGCGGGTCCTCTTTGCCGTCGTAGGTGGCGAACGTGAGTTTGTGGTACTTTGGCACAGCGACGCCCTCCACCTCCGGCGGTGATGGGATATGTGGCGGCATCGAGGACATGTGCGACGTCGACACCGAGACGTAGGGCAGTGCTATAGATGCGAACATAGGCAGCGGTGACGGTGAGTGCGGGAAATTAATCTGGGTGATCGGCACACCCGTCGACGGCGGTGGAGCAGGCGGCCGCGATCGTTGCACCGCTGGAGATGATAATGGCGTAGACAGTGGCGGCGCCACGGCGGATTCTGCGGACGCTGCAGCGACCTCGGAGATCACCGGCGCGGAGGCCGCGGGTAGGGCTGGGACCCCACCAAACCCCGGCGAGCCAAATTGCGGGAACGCTGGCCGGCCATCGAGCGCCGAAAGCCGGGCACCCTGGTCCTCCAGGTGGTGGTTGACGGCTGTCATCTGGAGTTGGAGGCCCGCGATGGCCTGCGTCAGCGCCTGGAGCGCCTCCGCAGTCGACATGGGTTGGGACGTGGACGGCATAGTGGGCACAAGGGTGCCCGAGGTGCCAACCATCGGCAGCAACACGGCGGGTTGTGGCACGGCGGAGGCAGGCACGCCGGTCGTGGGAGCAGCGGAGGAAGGAGGGACCGTGGCCGATGAGTCCCCGGATGTCGCCATGATCTCTGATACCAGGTTGGTATGGCGCCGAGCTTTACTCCGAAGGAAGTACGGAGGAGATCGAGGAGCGTGGGAGCGTGCAAGGGTTCGGTCGGCAGGAGCCGTGATTGCGGCGGCAAGAGGTGACGAAGAACAAGGAGACACCGGGTGCCCAAGGGTGACTTGCAGTCACAATCTCAGGCTACCTTTATTGATCCATAGAGTTTGATACATATAGGACTCAACTTAACCAACTATCCCTATCTTTTAAGACTCTGTAATCTTAACTAACCAAACTCTAATGACTCTCAATCCAAACTAACCCAAACTCTAAATAACGCAACCTGTGCGCCCCTGGTGACCACGCCCAGCTTGGCACACGGTTGAGCCTAGCCACTTCGGCGTCTATAAACTCTGCCGACCATAACATCATGACTCATGACTCATGATCTAGATTAACCAACATAAGTTCAGACTAGAACAAACGGATGAAAATCCGGAAGGTGAATGAATGCATGATAAATAAAAAAGTAGAGGGGAACATAAATGAGTACAGATGACAACAAACCTTTACACCAGCAGTACTGCATAATTGCACAACATTCCTCACTCCTGGGCGACAGGGATCCTACAGTAGAAGAAACTCTTATAGAAGGGTGAATAATGAATTCAATCACTGGGAAGTTACAAGTTATGGACAAATACAACAACAACAAAGCCTTTAAGTCCCAAACAAGTTGGGGTAGGTTAGAGTTGAAACCCAGCTGAAGCAATCAAGGTTCAGACACGTGAATAGTTGTTTTCCAAGCACTCCTATCTAAGTTATGGACAAATATGAACAGAATATGTGTCTAGACAAGCAAATAAACAAAAGGAGCTAAAGTTACTTTGCAGAATAATTTAAACATAGAGGGGGCCTGTAAAATACCAAATCACTCTTTTAAAATATTAAGGTGTTCTAGTTTTGTCCTAAGTCAAACTTTTCTAACTTTGACCAAGTCAAGTCTTTAAAAAGATCAAAGATGCGTCATGTATACAACATAAAACTAGTTCGTTAAATCCACCATGAAAAGTGCATTTATTTGGTATTGTAAATGTGAATATATTTCTCTATAAACTTGGTCAAAGTTAAATAAGTTTGACTTAGGGGAAAACTAATATAAAAATTATATTTTAGAACATAATGGGTACAAAACACCAAGAACAAGTTTTTGCATCATTATACTCTTAATAGCTTCTCATTTCTGCCATACTTATGGTTATGCGACTCGAGAATGACGTGTAAAAACTTGACGCTAGCAACCAGAACCGAGTGTTATATCATTATGTTTAGTGCTAGTTGAAGTCGTATTACATTAAAGAGTATGGATTTCTGAATTTAAAATATTGGAGTTTTTTTTGGGAGGGGGGGGGTGAGGGGGAGAACGCAGATGTAATATCAAAGTCAAATAACTATTCAAGTACTGAGGAGATGTACAAATATACATAGGCTCAGAATAAACTACCTTTATCCCGACCACCCCAATAAGAGTCAGATCATCCTCAGGCAACTTCCACTTATCTAGAGATTCTGTTGGGACCATTTTGGATTCCCAGGGGCAATATGCAAAAGCTACACAACGCAATGAACTCACTGCCATATCATCAATCGATTTCTTGAATTCGCTATGCTGAAAAGAATACTTTAAAGTTAATAATACTTTAGAAATCAGAATGACTAAAAAGGCAAGTTGGGCGCATATTTACCTTGATGGAATTCATTGGCTGAACAGAACTATCAGTAGAAAGCCAGCTTCTGCAAGATGCTAATAGTAGCTCCGCTGCCCCTTTCCAATGAATGTGGACCTCTGTATCTGACTACAAATACACATACAAAAGAGTAGTGAGGTAAGGCAATCTAAAAGGGAGTAGGAAAGATTCTCACGACACGGATAAGATATTGTCACCACGACAAGCATTCAGGAAGGAACTAATAGGTATATTTACATATAAAGAAGATCCAAACAGATAAGGAAAGAAACCCCAACATTGTCAGGGTCAGATGAAAATGTGGCAGATTATCCAAAAGCATTTGGATGATATTTTTTCAGCAAAAGAATCGTAATCTTGAAATCTAGACAAGCACTGCATAAAAAAAGTAAAAAATGTGAAAATCAGTAGCAAAAACTCAAATTTACACAGAGCCAAGTATGTAGTTTTATGTTCGTTCAAAAAAAGTATATAGTTTTATGTCCTTATTAGTTCCACTATAAACAATCAATAATAGACATGATAATTTCTTGTTCGACAACAGATTATTTGCTTCAGAATTTTTCAGTACATTAGAATAAGCTTACCACTTGCAAAGCCACACCACCACGCTTCTTCTCTGAATTGAATGGGAGAACATGAAGAACTGAAGATTTTGATCTCACATCCTTGAAGTCCATCCCAATCTATACAGGTAAACTTGTTAGCTAATCTACTGCCGCCTTGTGTGAAACACAGCAGAGGAAGGCGGCGCCGACTTTACCTCCTGCTGTAATACAGTAGCCGCTGTAGGTGCAGGCGCCGCATGGCTCACCTGCAGCACTGTAGGCACATGCAGTGGCCGGCGCAGAGTCAGCCCTGTATACTTATCTAGTTACTGTTACAGCATGTGCGCTGTACTTTAGTTAGATAGATAGAGGTGTATAAATAGGGCACCAAGACAACTCAGTGAAGAGAGCTCAGATTTGCCATCACACAGACAGGGCTTCGGCCAACGTTGTTGTCTTGTATTGTGCGTGCTTGCTCTGTTCTCCCTTCTTCTTCTAGCTCGATCCGTAGTGTGTGGGTACGGACAGAACCGGTGTAGTGGTCTGGGAGACTAGTGGTCTGGTCTGGAGACTAGCGGTCTGGTCTGGAAGACTAGTGGTCTGGTCTGGAGACTAGCGGTCTGGTCTGAGAGACTAGTGGTCTGGAGACTAGTGGTCTGGTCTGGGAGACTAGTGGTCTGGTCTAGGAGACTAGTGGTCTGGGAGACTAGTGGTCGGAGACTAGTTCACTATCGTCAGACGGTGATCCCGTGGGCCAACAAGTGGTATCAGAGCCGTACAAGCGTCGTCGTCATTCTAACCGACGGTGAGGACATGCGGTTTGGAGTTGGGCGATGGCAGTGGCACTGTCATAGCTGCCCAGCCACTTGGCCGACGCACTAACTATGGAGAGTGGTCGGTGACCATGAAAGTCAAGCTCAGAGCCAGACGGCTCTGGAATGCTGTTGACAAGGATACCGACGTGGAAGAAGACGACATGTCAGCGATGGAGGCTATCCTCGCTGCTGTACCGGCGGAGTATAGGGAACCGTTGGGGACGAAGAGCTCAGCTAAGGAGGCGTGGGAGGCCATTGCGGCGATGCGCGTCGGTTCCGACCACGCAAAGAAGGCAACGGCCCAGCTTCTGAAGCAGGAGTATGCAAACATCAAGTTCAAGGATGGTGAAAAAGTGGAGGACTTCTCCCTCCGCCTGCAGACGTTCATCAGCAAGCTGAAGAGCCACGGCGTCACCATCGACGAAGAGGAGGCGGTCTCCAAATTCCTCCACTCCGTGCCGGCAAAGTACATCCAGATCGCTCTCTCCATAGAGACGATGCTGGACTTGTCCACCCTCACCATCGAGGATGTGGCAGGCCGTCTACGGGCGGTGGACGAGCGCCTGAAATAGGCGACAGCAACAAAGGACAACGGGAAACTCCTGCTGACGGAAGAGGAGTGGGCTGCTCGGTGAAACTCTGGGAAGGCAGCCTCCTCCAATCACAGTGGAAATGGCAAACATCGCGGCAGGGCTTCTTCGGAGAAGAAGCAAATCGACTCCAACGCCTGTCGGTGTTGCGGGAAGATGGGCCATTGGGCACGGGAGTGCCCAAATCGCAAGAAGGAAAAGAAGGCTCAGGCTCACCTGGCGAAAGCCGATGATGAGGATGAGGCCACTATCCTTATGGCGACGTTCTATGCACTGCACGATGTCGGGGCCATGGAGAGGGAAGAGGCGACGACGGTGGAAGGATCTAGCAAGGCCCTGAAGACCGTCAACCTCGACGAACCACGTGCCCAAGTCCATCTTGGGCATGTGGGCGTTGACCAGGAGCAGCGGTGGTATCTGGACTCTGGTGCTAGTAACCACATGACGGGCTCCAAGGACTCCTTCTCCGAGCTCGACGGCGATGTTCTCCAAGGGTGGCTATCCAAGGGCGCGGCACCATCATCTTCAGATGTCAGAATGGGGAGCACCGCGCGCTAACGGATGTATATTACATCCCGCAGCTGCGTTCTAGCATCATCAGCATTGGTCAGCTGGATGAGCGTGGTAGCGAGGTTCTGATCAAGGACGGTGTTCTGAGGATTAGAGACCGGGAGCAGCGACTTCTCGCCAAGGTGAAGAGGTCCCTGAACCGGTTGTACCTGCTCGACCTGAAGGTAGAGCAGTCGGTTTGCCTGGCGGCAAGGCACTCCGAGGAACCGTGGATGTGGCATGCCCGGTTCGGACATCTCAGCTTCGACGTGCTTGGTCGGCTGGGGAAGATGGTCCGAGGGCTACCCCACATCAAACACGGAGGCGAGCTGTGTGACAGCTGCCTGGCCAGGAAGCAGAGGAGGCTACCTTTCCCAAAGGCGGCCAAGTATCGTGCGAAGAAAGCTCTCGAGCTAGTTCACGGCGACCTCTACGGGCCGATCACGCCTGCTACATGCGGTGGTCGGCGGTACTTCCTCCTACTCGTGGACGATTGCAGTCGCTACATGTGGCTGCAACTCCTGACGAGCAAGGACGAAGCGGCGGTGGCGATCAAGAAGTTCAAGACGCGCGCGGAGGCCGAGAGCGGCAAGAAGCTCCGTGTACTGAGGATGGGTCGGGGTGGCGAATTCACTTCGGTGGAGTTTGCTACGTACTGCGCGGATCAAGGTGTGGGGCAACATCACACCGCGCCGTACTTGCCACAACAGAATGGCGTGGTGGAGCGACGGAACCAGACAGTGGTCGGCATGGCCCGATCCATGATGAAGGCCAAAGGGATGCCGACAAAATTCTGGGGAGAGACGGTGACCACGGCGGTGTTCATCCTCAACCGCGCTCCAACCAAAGCCCTAACGGGCAAGACACTGTTCGAAGCTTGGTACGGGTGCAAGCCGAACGTCTCATTCCTCCGGACATTCGGTTGCATCGGCCACGTCAGGAAGACGAAGCCGAACCTCACCAAGCTGGAGGAGAGGAGCACACCCATGGTGTTCCTAGGCTACGCGGAGGGTACCAAGGCGTACCGGCTCTATGACCCATGCGGAGACAAGGTGACTGTCTCGCGCGACGTTGTGTTCAACGAGGAGGCAGCTTGAGACTGGCACAGTCCGAGCACGGGGGAAGCGGGAGGCTTCACCAACACCTTTGTCGTCGAGCACTTGGTCATCCATGGCAGTGGAGACGCTGCGGAACAGGTGCCACGCACTCCGGGAGGAGCGCCGAGCACTCCGGCGGTAGAGTCGAGCACTTCTGGGGCAGTACCGAGCACTTCAGGAGGGATGCCGAGCACTCCGGGAAGAGTGTCGAGCACTTCTGGAAGGATGCTGAGCACACCAGGAGTGGAGCCAGGAGGTTCTGCAGTGGTGGCGACCACTTCAAGACGGGTGCCGAGCACTCCCGTGGCGGAGCCAAGACGTCTTACTGTGGTTCCGACCACTCCAAGACTGAGGCTGGGCACTCCTACAGTGTGGCCGAACACTGCAGGAGTTATGACGAGCAGTTCAGAAGCAGTGCCGAGTACTTCAGGTGCTATGCAGGGCACTCCGACGGAAGAAGGAACTCCATCACCCCCGATCGAGTTTACCTCACCTCCAAGTGACATCACTGAGTTCGTGGACGCCTACCACGAAGGTGAGGAGTTGAGGTTCCGCAGGCTAGACGACATCGTCGTGGCGCATAGAGTCCCTCAGTCTGGTGGGTAAATTTGCTCAACGACGAGAGTGCTGCTACTCGTCGATGCAGAGAAGGAACCACCGCGTTCGCACTAGCCGAAAGCGATGGAAAGCGGCGACGGACAATCTTTGGAGGAGATGAAGGCGATCGAGGAAAGCGAGACTTGGCAGCTCGTCGATCCACCCCTAGGATGCCGTCCGATCAGCTGAAGTGGGTGTACAAAGTCAAAGGGACGAAGCTCGGCGCCATTGTCAAGTACAAAGCGGCGCCTCGTCGCCAAGGTTTTGTCGGTCAGCGAGGGCATCGACTTCGAGGAGGTCTTTGCACCAGTAGCACGCATGGAGTCGGTCCGTTTGCTACTTACTTTAGCGGCAGCAAAGGACTGGCATGTCCATCACTTGGACGTTAAATCGGCCTTCCTCAACGGCGAGCTAGCAGAAACGGTCTTCGTCAGGCAACCTCCAGGGTTCGCTGTCAAGGGAGAAGAGCACAGGGTGCTCCGATTGCGCAAAGCGCGCTCGGGGTGAGGCAAGCCCTCGAGCATGGAACGCCAAGCTTGACACACCACCGGGCGAGCTTGGGTTTCAGAGGTGCAAGAACCGAGCACGCGCGCTCTACACGCCGACGACGGGGAAGGAAGAACTCATGGTCGGCGTGTATGTGGATGACTTAATCGTCACCGCGCGCGCGCGACGAGGATATCAACAAGCTTCAAGCGAGAGATGGCAGCTCGTTTTCGAATGAGCGATCTCGGCGCTCTCTCCTACTACCTCGGCATCGAGGTGAGACAGGGGAAGGAGGAACTCACGCTCGGGCAAAGCGCGTATGCCTCCAAGCTGTTGGAGAGGAGCGGCATGGTGGAGTGCAAGCCATGCGTGACTCCGATGGAGGAGCGGCTAAAGCTGACGAAGGACAGCACTGCGGCGAAAGTAGATGCAACACTCTACCGGAGCATCGTCGACGGTCTGCGCTACCTAGTCCACACAAGGCCGGACATTACGTTCGCCGTGGGCTACGTCAGTCACTTCATGGAGGATCCCAGAGAGGATCACTGGGCTGCGGTGAAGCGGCTACTACGCTACGTCAAGGGGACGGTGAATCATGGAATCATCTTCCCAAAGACCAGGGGAAGTAGGCTGCAGCTCACGGTGTTCAGCGATGCAGACATGGCGGGGGGACATCGACGGACGATGGAGCACCTCTGGCGTACTCGTCTTCCTCGGGTCAGCCCCAATTTCATGGCTGTCGCTGAAACAGAAGGTTGTGGCGCTATCTACGTGCGAGGCAGAGTACGTAGCGGCGGCCACAGCGGCGTGCCAAGTTGTGTGGCTACGTCGGCTGCTGGGCGAGCTAACCGGCGTGGAAGCTCACCCGCCAGCACTGATGGTGGACAACCAGCCCGCCATCGCCCTCGGTAAGAATCCGGTTCTGCACGACCGGAGTAAACACATCGACGTGAAGTTCCACTTCCTCAGGGACTGTGTTGATGGAGGGCAGATCATCATCGAGTTTGTCGAAACTGGTCGGCAACTCGCGGACGTCCTCACCAAGCCACTCGGACGACTTGACTCACGGAGTGAAGGAGATGATCGGCATGGAGGGGTGCAAGGGTTATGATGAGGATTAGGGAAGATTGTTAGCTAATCTCGCCACCTTGTGTGAAACACAGCAGAGGAAGGCGGCGCCGACTTTACCCCCTGATGTAATACAATAGCCGTTGTAGGTGCAGGCGCCGCATGGCTCACCTGCAGCACTGTAGGCACATGCAGTGGCCGGCGCAGAGTTAGCCCTGTATACTTATCTAGTTACTGTTACAGCATGTACGCTGTACTTTAGTTAGATAGATAGAGGTGTATAAATAGGGCACCAATGCAACTCAGTGAAGAGAGCTCAGATTTGCCATCACACACAGACGGGGCTTGCCAAGCGTTGTTGTCTTGTATTGTGCGCGTGCTTGCTCTGTTCTCCTTCTTCTTCTAGCTCGATCCGTAGTGTGTGGGACAGACGAACCGGTGTAGTGGTGCGGGAGACTAGTGGTGCAGTGCGGAGACTAGCGGTGCAGTGCGGAAGACTAGTGGTGCAGTGCGGAGACTAGCGGTGCGGTGCGAGAGACTAGTGGTCTGGAGACTAGTGGTCTGGTCTGGGAGACTAGTGGTCGGAGACTAGTTCACTATCGTAAGACGGTGATCCCGTGGGCCAACAAAACTGTCAAATCAATAAAATAAATCGAAGGAAATAATGCAAAATAAATGAGTGTATACTCAGTATTACCTTAAGGCCCCAAGAAAGAATTGCTTTTTCAGTTGGTGAGCCAGTAACTTCCGTAGCTCCTCCATCCTAAAGATAGGCAACCATACTAACTTGGATTTAATTTTCCATGCTATGAAAACAATATAGGATTGATCTCATGCAATTCATATCAATAGAACTTAATTGGTATACATGTCACTGTAGCATATCAATTAGATTCTGCAAACAATACAAGGTTTATGGAGTTTATTACCTCTGGCATAAACACAGTCCCTGTTGTGTTATGTGCAATTCCTTCAATTAATAGAGCTGTCACACTGGTGCACATCGCGCTGGCATTATCATAAGGATCCATTTTTTTCCCACCCAAATATGCTTCAACAACTGTCATCTAGAAGATCAATGGAAACAAGGTACCAAAAGAATTATATGAATTTAATGTGTCATTGACTCTATGCCATCGTGGGTTTCATAGTTAAACACTAGTATAGGAATATATGCACTTGTAACTGTTAGAATTTCATATTTTAGAATTCAATTGAAAAAACATGAAGTAACACCATCCATGGGAATAATATACGGTACTTTTGTGGTGAGTACATATTGACTTCACAAACCTTATTCATGGTAAGAGTTCCAGTCTTGTCACTGCAAATAGTGGTTGCTGATCCCATTGTTTCACAAGATGAGAGCCGTCTCACCTGAGAAAAAAAATGAAAAAGTCAATGATATAAATATGTATATAGATATACTGAGTCATATGAAGGTTTGGCTTCGCAAATCTATCTAAGGTTTTACAAGAGCCTTGTCTCGCATCTTCCTCATTGAATATGAAAGACTGAAACAAAAAAGAAAAAAGAAACCATGAGTAATGTACCAAAAAAATTTCTGAGTAACTTGCATGAAAGATAAACAATCCATACGTCAATGTTACTGCTAAAGGAAGTCCTTTAGGCACAACAACTGTTAGAATTAATTGCTATTTACTTTAATCACCTAGTTACTTGTGTAATCTCCTAGCTTTAATCTCCTAGCTAGCTGTGCTGAGTTAATGCCCAGCTGGCCCCTTGGGGTTCGGCTGGCCTCTTGGGACTCGGCTGGCCCTTTGGGTCACCCTCCTCCTCTCTTTTTATATGTAATCTCTTCTATAAACTCAATTCAAGGAATCTAAGCCTGTTAGGCTATTGTCTATCATGGTATCAGACTAAACCATCGATCCTTCTGCTTCCGCTCCCACTCCACCCACCCCAGGCTGTTGTGCGCACCCATGGCCACCTCCAGCTCCTCCGCCATGGCTACCGCGACCAAGATCCGCGACGAAGCCCTCTCTGCTGCCAAGCACCTGGAGGATGAGGCCTCCTCTCTGCGCTCCACCAACACAGAGCGCAGCCAGCAGCTTGAGGAAGAAGCTGCCCTTCTCAAGTCCGCTGCCGCCGCCCAGGAGCGTGTCCACGCCGCTGCTGCTGCTCTTGACAAAGAGCGCACGCAGGCAGATACCCTGGAGCAGCAGGCCGTGGCCCTCCGGGATCGCCTCCGCCCCGAGCATCCGGACGACAACGCCGATCCTGAGGATGACGACGTCCACTCCGCCTCCTCTGAAGCAGCGGCCATCGCCCACCTCCACACTCAAGCTGCTGCTGTCCAGAACATCAAGAATCTCATCCCTATCGTTCTTGATCTTCAATCCTCCAACTACTCCAAGTGGCGCGGCTACGTCCTCCTCATCCTCGGCCGTTTCGCCTTGAAGGATCATGTCCTCAGCGATGACTCCCGCCCCTACGATCCGGCGTGGTCACGCATGGACTGCGTCATCCTCTCTTGGCTTTTCAACACCATCTCCGCCGACCTCCTGGACGTCATCCATGAGCACGACGGCCTCACCGCCTGGACAACATGGCTCAGGATTGAACAACAGTTCCTCAACAATCGCGAGTCCCGCGCCATGCTCCTCGACGCCGAGTTTCGCACTCTTTGCCAAGGTGCCCTCTCCATCGATGACTACTGCCGCAAAATGAAGAGCATGGCGGATGTCCTCGCCGACCTCGGCGAGCCCATCTAGGACCGAACTCTAGTGCTAAACGTTCTACGGGGTCTCAATGAACGTTTTCAGTTCATGTCCCAGCTCGTCACCCGCCAGAGGCCGTTCCTGTCCATCACCGATGTTCGTGCTGACCTCCGTTTGGCCGAGCTCAACATGGGGACGCCCTCTGCCTCTCCTTCGGCTCTCGTCGCCGCGCCCTCCATCAGGCCGCCCACTTCGTCCTCGCCTGCGCCTCCACGCCATCATCAGGCCACTGCTGGCCATCATGCTGCTGCTGGACAGCAATCTAGTGGCAACCACGGTCGACGCCGCCGCGGCGGGCGCGGCTCTGGCGGCTCCCACAGCAGTGCACAGGGCGGGACTGCACCAGCCACACCATAGTGGCCCTCGCTGCTCAACCCCTGGACCGGCTCTATCCACATGTGGCCAGGGTCCACCGCCGGCGGCGCCCGTGGCCCTCCACCACGTGCAGTCTAGCTTGCACCTCTGCAACAGGCTCTGGTGGCCGGCGTGCCACCGGCATACTTCGCTCCACCACCAGCTTCCGGGTCCTACTACCCGCAGCCCCCCCGGCACCTCCTGCTTGGGCGCCCTGGACGCCCGAGGGTCTCGCTAGCGCCTTCAGCACCGTCTCCCTTACCCCACCACCGAGTTCCTCGGATCGGGTGATCGACTCGGGCGCCTCCTCCGACATCACCGCCAACCCTGGTATGGTCACCGCTACACCATTCTCTTCCTTTCCCTCCTCCATTGTCGTAGGCAACGGGACCACCCTCCCTGTTATTGGCACCGGCTATTCTATCCTTCTTGAACCCTTTCGCCTCGACAATGTCCTTGTAGCTCCCGACATTATCAGAAATCTCCTTTCGGTTCGAAAATTCACTACTGACAATTGTGTTTCTGTCGAGTTTGACCCTCTTGGTGTTTCGGTGAAGGATCTCCGTACCCGAAACACCCTCCTCCGATGTAACAGCACGGGGCCTCTCTACACTCTTCAGCTCCCTTCATCCACCACTGGCTCCTGCGCCCTTGTCGCCACTCCTTCACCAACTACCTGGCACAGGCGCCTCAGTCACCCCGACAAGGCCACTCTTCAGTCCCTTGCACAGTCCTCCTCCATTGTCTGTAGCAAGCCTGAAGATGACTCCCTCTGCCACGCCTGTCAGCTTGGGCGTCATATTCGTCTCCCTTTTTCTATTTCGCTATCTAGAGCAGCCAAGAATTTTGATTTAATCCATTGTGACCTGTGGACATCTCCTGTTGTTAGTGTCTCTGGTTTTAAATATTATTTAGTTATTCTTGATGATTGCTCTCATTTCCTCTGGACTTTTCCCCTTCGCACTAAGTCAGATACATTCCCCACGATTTCTAATTTCTTCGCTCATGTGTCTACCCAATTCAGCTGCACCATTAAATCAGTCCAATGTGACAACGGTCGCGAGTTTGACAACTCCGTCTCTCGTGCTTTCTTTCTTGCTCACGGCATCACTCTCCGCATATCGTGCCCCTATACTTCCCAGCAAAACGGGAAAGCCGAGCGCATGATCCGCACCGTCAATAACATCACACGCACCCTCCTCTTCCAAGCTTCCATGCCCCCCTCTTACTGGGCTGATGCTCTAGCCACTGCCACCTATCTCATCAATTGCCTTCCCACCAAAACTCTAAACATGAGCACCCCCCTTTTCACCCTCCATGGCACCCTCCCCTCCTATCATGATCTTCGTGCCTTCGGGTGCACATGCTACCCCAACCTTTCTGCCACCACTCCTCACAAGCTTGCCCCCCGCTCCACCCTCTGTGCTTTCCTTGGTTATTCACCGGATCACAAGGGCTATCGGTGTCTCGACATCAACAACAACCGCGTCATCATTTCTCGCCACGTTGTTTTCGACGAAACAACGTTTCCTTTTTCCCTCAACCGGCCATCCCCTCCTCAGTAGGAACTTGATTTTCTAACTGACGACGACACCATTCCAGTGTCTCCCCTTCCTGCAGGTACACCCGGCGCTGCTGCCCCTTTCCAGTTGGTGCCTCTGGCACCATCTCTGGCACGCACAGGCACACCGGCGTCCAGGGCCCCGGTGCTGCCAGCGCCCTCCACCCTAGCACCACCGGCTGTGTCCAGGGGGTCCCCGGCGTCCTCTGTACAGGCGCCCCTTGTACAGGCGCCCCCTATACAGGCGCCGGCTCCACCCGTCGTCCACGTCTACAACCGACGCGCTCCCCCCCGGTGATTGCGCCTCAGAAGCCGCCTATTATTCATGTCTACAGCAGGCGTGCTCCTGCTCCTGCCCCACCACCCGAGCGCCCGGCAGGAGCGCCTCCTCGACGTTCGAGCATGGTCCCCTCTCCACCTTGCTATGTCAAGAGCGATCCTCCGGTTCCTGCTGGTGCTATTTCCATTCCACCGGTCGCCAACTCCCACGGCATGGCGACCCGTGGAAAAACAGGCTACCGGCAGCCTCGCCTCGCCTTGCATACCGAGGCCTTGTCTCCCCTACCGTGGTCCTGTCGAGATGCCCTTGCTGATCCTCATTGGCGCCAGGCCATGGAAGATGAATATGCAGCTCTATAGGACAACCACACCTGGGACCTCGTCCCCCGCCCCACCAAGGCCAATGTTGTTACTGGAAAATGGATTTTCAAACACAAGTTCCATGCCGATGGTTCATTGGAGAGATACAAGGCTCGTTGGGTACTTCGGGGATTCACTCAACGCCCCGGTGTTGATTATGATGAAACTTTCAGCCCAGTTGTCAAGCCAGCCACTGTTCGGACAGTCATCACGGTGGCACACTCCAGGGATTGGCCGATTCATCAACTTGACGTGAAGAACGCTTTCCTCCACGGGACTCTTTCAGAAATAGTATACTGCTCTCAGCCTACTAGGTTCACTGATCCTGTACTTCCAGATCATGTCTGTAGACTCAACAAATCTCTCTACGGCTTGAAGCAAGCCCCGCGGGCCTGGTACTGCCGCTTTGCCTCCTTTCTGATCTCTCTGGGGTTCACTGAAGCCAAGTCAGACACATCTCTCTTCATATTCAGTCGTGGCACCGAGATAGTCTACTTGCTCTTATATGTGGATGACATTGTCCTTACGGCTTCATCTCAGCAACTCCTTCACCGTGTCATTGCTGCTCTGAAAAAGGAGTTCGCCATGAAAGATCTTGGACCCCTACATCACTTCCTTGGCGTTGCAGTTCAGCGCCACAGGGATTCTGTTCTCCTTTCACAGCGTCAGTACACTCTAGACATACTTGCTCGCCATGGCATGAGTGACTGCAAGCCTTGCTCCACTGCAGTTGACACTTGTGCAAAGGTACCAGCTGATGTCGGCCCATCTGTTGCTGATCCCACTGCTTATCGCAGCCTTGTGGGTGTCCTCCAGTACCTCACCTTCACCAGGCCCGACATTGCCTATGCCGTCCAACAAGTGTGCCTTCATATGCATGATCCGCGGGAAACTCACCTTGTCGCTGCCAAGCGGATCCTTCGCTATCTTCAAGGCACCCTCAGCCATGGTCCGGTCATTCCCCGAACAGCCCCAACACAACTCCGTGTCTACACCGACGCTGATTGGGCCGGCTGCCCGGACACCCGCCGCTCCACCTCCGGCAACGCCATCTTCCTCGGAGGCAGCCTGGTCTCCTGGTCCTCCAAGCAGCAGCCCACTGTCTCCCGGTCCAGCGCCGAGGCAGAGTACTGGGCTGTTGCCAACGGTGTCGTTGAAGCCACTTGGCTGCGGCAACTGCTCCAGGAACTTCACCATCCCCTGGACTCCGCATGCCTCATCTACTGCGACAATGTCAGCGCCTGCTACCTCTCCACCAACCCCGTTCAACATCAGCGCACCAAGCACGTGGAAATCGACCCTCACTTCGTCCGTGAACATGTCGCCATGGGTGCAGTCCGGGTTCTTCATGTGCCCACCACGTCGCAATTCGCCGATGTCTTCACCAAGGGGCTCTCTTCCTCTGTCTTCATGGATTTTCGCTCCAGTCTAAACGTTCGCTCCACCGACGATCTGACTGTGAGGGGTGTTAGAATTAATTGCTATTTACTTTAATCACCTAGTTACTTGTGTAATCTCCTAGCTTTAATCTCCTAGCTAGCTGTGCTGAGTTAATGCCCAGCTGGCCCCTTGGGGTTCGGCTGGCCTCTTGGGACTCGGCTGGCCCTTTGGGTCACCCTCCTCCTCTCTTTTTATATGTAATCTCTTCTGTAAACTCAATTCAAGGAATCTAAGCCTGTTAGGCTATTGTCTATCAGCAACAACCACAATAGTTACCTATAAAGAAATATGGCATAATCAGGTGTGTAAAAGTTGATACTCTTCATAACATTAACAAAAAAAAACTATCTAACAATACATACAGCAATTGTCAAAATTCTAATTGCCCCCATAAATCCCTGTTTGACACCTGTTGTTCCAGCCAAAAATTGGGTAGTCCCATCTGGATTCTTGGTATGTCCAGTAAAATACCTGCATTTTTTAAAAAAAAAGTCCTTGTAAGAAACAGGCATTGAAGTGTTGCATAACTGTGTAAGATATACCACATGGCCATGGCAACTAACTCTTGAACAGACCTTAGCCAGAGGACGACGAGCACAGCACCAGCAACCGACAAACCCACACTACCAATAAGATTAGCAACACCATTCAAGCGTACCTATGCCAAAGCAAGTGGGAGCAAGGACCGATCAATATTGAGTCAAAATAGACTCATTGTACATAAGCGTTCCTTTTCAAAAGGCAACTTAAGAAATTAACCTGTAATGGGGTTTCTTCACCAGTATCCTCTGAAAGGTTGGCCATCATCATACCCCATTCAGTATTGATACCCACACCAGTTACCTTTGTATTGATAGCAATTGCAGAAAGATTATGTTAGTGGTCAATATAAAGTGACAGAATGAATGTGATAGTAGCAGCCGATACACGTAATACTGTACAGGAAAGCATACTCAGCTAAAGCAACACACTCCACTCGCCATATATACTTTGAAAGAGTCAATTAAGTTATACTCAACAAGCCCTGGAAAACAGTCTGATGCTTACCAGCATAGAGCCATAACCATCTGCAACCTTGCAACCGGACATCAAGAAAGGGGCCCTTTGGTCCTTATTAACCTGATCATGATATATAGTTGAAACATTATAAGCCGGCTTATTAGCCATGGTATAATATTTTTCTCTCCCAACAAATCAGCTGTACAAATCAGCACAAGCGGCTTATAGACCAGCCGAACAGAGCCTTAGAAAAAACGCAAATTTTGTCTCACTGAGTCACCAGGTCGCGGGTTCGAAGCAGCCCCTCCACAGATTTTGCGGGGGGGAAGGCTTGCCTCGGTTTTTCCCTTCCCCAGACCCCACTCATGTGGGAGCCTCCAGCACTGGGTCTGCCCCCCCTTTTAGGAAACAAAAAAGGGTTCCATTTTTATCAACACCTACAATTTTGGATTCCCGTGTCATACTCAATTCATCAATTGCAAGAAAATGACCATATATCAGTATATCATCTGCAGGAACCTAAAGATGGATGAACATAACCACACCAAATTTTGAGGGGAAAATAGAGAAGGAACTAAGATGTAGAGATAGACCAGAATATATGATTTCGTACTTGGTCACCGATTTTGAGGGGAACCACGTCACCAACAACAAGGTCGAATATTGAAGCTACTAATCTCTTACCACCTCTGATGACCTATAGATCACAATAAGTTGGTACTGACATAGAATGACTGTCTATATGCAGAATTAAATCCCAAAATAAATGTGTATAAACGTACTCACCTCAACTTGTATGTTTCGTTTCTCCTCATTCAAATGTTGAAACTGAAGTGATTGTCTATAATCACTGGTTGCTAAGAAAGTTGTGAAAAAATAAAGTATCAGAACAGAACAAGATGACTCGGGGTACTGTAACATGAGGGAAAGCCGTAAAATAGAACATGACCATATTTAAGTGCAGTTTTTGACATATGAGCATATTTTTTGAGTGAAAACAGTAGGGGAAGCCTATATAAGAAAAGAAAAGGCAAAAAGCAAACAGGTTTCTCTTCAGAAAATAAAAGAAGAGGAATTAAAGGACGGTCCAGAAGAACCAGGTCTCTCCAGGAGAGAGGAAAGAGGAAAAAGAACCGGTACTTCTCTAATACCTAAGATGTTTGGTGTAATGGTTGGCTGATAGGACTAGATGCCCTACCGGTGTTACTGCGTAGGTTATAGGGGTGGAAGAGAGGAGGACGTGGTCTGTACTCTCGACACCAGCAAGGGGCCGTGGTGGCGTGAGCGCGGCGGCTGCTGCTGTAGCCCTAGAATTCCCGCGATGCTACAGTAGCGGCGGCACTGTTCACGCGAGCCACAGCAGGAGGCGGCTAGGGTTAGGAAATCCCGGCTCCCTTCAGGAAGCCGGAAACAATTCTTGTTTCTGCTTGATTATAACTGATACAGGGTTCTCTTTTTACAGAGATGACTGACTTGACCCCTAAGGAAATATCCTAACCGAATCAATTTAACATATCTCTTTCCTAAGAAACCAAACCAATCTAATCTCCACGCGCTACAGTACCGCGTGCCACAGTACCGCGTGGCCCCTGGGCCGGCTCCTCTTGCCATAACATGGGCCTACGCCTTGTATAATGGGTGCTGGTCATAACATCTCTCCCCGCCTACGCAAACAACTCGTCCTCGAGCTGGAAGGCAGGGTAGAGGGTGCGGAACTTGTCAACGAGGGACTGTGCCGTGCGGTGGGAGCCCTGTGGTCTCGTCGAAGACTGCGCTCTGCTGCTGCAGCAACAAGTCCATCAGCGGCTGCTGAGCGTCGGCGGAGAGTGCAGCGAGGTGCTGCTGTGGAGCCGCCGCGTCGAGGCTGCGCACGCCCTGCCAAAGGACGCGTCTGCCCTCACGCCAGAAGGACAGCGTTATGGCCTCAAAATTCCACAAGATGGGACCCAAGGTCCGTAGGTAGTCGACGCCGAGGATGAAGTCGAAACAGCCCAAGTCCAATCCGACGCACGTGATGGAAAAGGACTCCGAGCCGATGCAGATGGGCACGTGGCGAGCAATGCCCTCGCAAGGGATCCGGTCGCCGTCGGCCACGGTGACACGGAGCTGCTCACCGCCCGTCGGGGCGAGCCGTAGACGGCGCATCGTCGCGCCATGGAGGAAGTTGTGCGTGGAGCCGGTGTCGAGTAGCGCCAACAGCCGCTCCCCTTTAACCATCACCGGGAGTAGCATCGTATTGTCCGTGCGCATCCCTGCAAATGCGTGTAGAGAGACCACGAAAGCATTAGCGGCTGCAGGCTCCTGGGCGTCCGGAGCCGCGGGGTTGGCGACGTCATCCATCGCCGCGGCATCCCCCAGCCCGTCATCGATGTAGTCATCCGATTCGAGGTAGAAGAGCCGTGGGCACACGTGGCCGCGGACGCAGGGCTCATCACAGTTGAAGCAAAGCCCTTGTCGATGCCGCTCCAGTTGCTCGTCCGGCGTGAGGCGGCGGAACTGGCACACCGGGGGCGCCCTGTTCGCCGCTGCTGGTCCGCCCCCTGGGGGCACAGGGGCTCCAGCTAGAGGAGGACCCGCGCCTGGCACGCGCGGGGGAAGGCCAGGCCGCTGAGGAGGTCAGGCGCCCTGCTGCAGAGGCGCTGGAGGCATGGCCACCGCACGACGCTCGAATGCCCGGGCCAAATACATGGCGGTCTGAAGGTCGGGTGGATCCCGCATCTCGACGTCGACCTTGATGTGCTCGGGGAGGCCACCCACGAACAGTTCCGCCTTCTGGCGAGGATTGAGGTCGCGAGCATGGCAGAGCACGGCATTATAGTTGTCCGAATACTCCTGGACCGATGACTGGAAGGGTAGCCGGGCGAGCTCGGCCAGCCGCGTGACGTGCGTTGGGGGGCCGAAACGGAGCTGGCACAGGTCACGGAAGCGTTCCCAGGTCGGCATGCCTTCATCTTGTTCCAGCGCATAGTACCAAGTTTGAGCAGCGCCGCGAAGGTGGTACGAAGCTAGCCATGTGCGATCTGAAGCCAATGTTCGCTGGCCGCGGAAAAACTGCTCGCAGTGGTTGAGCCAATTGAGCGGATCAACGGCGCCGTCGAACGTCGGGAACTCCAGCTTGTAAAATTTGGGAGGGGCATGGGCGCCGTTGGGAGCAGTGGCAGACGAGTCCTCAGCGGATAGGGCGCCGTCGGAGTACCCGCCTCCACCGTAGACGAGGGTACCGTCCATCCCTCCATAGACGATGCCGCTGGTCAGGGGCGGCTGGTGCGCCCCGGAGGATGCCGCGACCGCGGCTACCGACGGTGTAGGGGCCGTGGCCATCGCGTAGATGGGCGGAGTCGTCGAGCCCATCGCCCACGACGGGATGGGAGACGGCGAGGCTGGCCACCGCAGCAAGTGGAGGGGCACCCCCGTCCCGCTGGTCTAGGGCATGCCGTAGAGGAAGATCGCCTGCGGCTGCGACGGCTGTGGAGGTGGTGGTGGTGCCGGCTGTTGTGGAGGGGGAGGTGGTGGGATGAGGGCGGCCAGGGTCACCTGCATGGCCGCCATGCTGCGGGCAATCGCAGCCACGTCGGCGGCCAAAGATTCCAACGTTAGGGGCGCTCCCGAGGATGCGGACGACAACCCCGACGCGGCCGACGGCGCTGGCGCTGATGGCAGGGACAAGGAGGCGGAGGTGGATGGCGGCTGCGTGGATGTGGATGGAGGACCTGACATCTTTGATGCCAGGCTGATAGGACTAGATGCCCTACCGATGTTAATGCGTAGATTATAGGGGTGGAAGAGAGGAGGACGTGGTCTGTACTCTCGACGCCAGCGAGGGGCCGTGGCGGCGAGAGCGTGGCGGCTGCTGCTGCAGCCCTAGAATTCCCGCGATGCTACAGTATCGGCGGCACTGTTCACGCGAGACACGGCAGGAGGCGGCTAGGGTTAGGAAATCCTGGCTCCCTTCAGGAAGCCGAAAACAATTCTTGTTTCTGCTTGATTATAACTGATACAGGGTTCTCTTTTTATAGAGATGACTGACTTGACCCCTAAGAAAATATCCTAACCGAATGAATCTAACATATCTCTTTCCTAACAAACCAAACCAATCTAATCTCTATGCGCTACAGTACCGCGTGCTACAGTACCGCGTGGCCCCTGGGCCGCTTGCCATAACATGGGCCTACACCTTGTATAATGGGTGCCGGTCATAACATTGGCACATAACATTCATTTTTTTTCTCGAGCACGCATAAGAACCGCATGCCATTGTATTAAGAAGAGTGAAAATAGTGGTCCAATTACATTGCCAGCAAGGGTAGGTGTACTTTTACATTTGCAGAGTAGGACATCATGGCTCCTAAGCTTGAAACCTTGCAAGACCATTTACTTGAAAGAAACTTGTGTTGACTACATTAGGCATGACCGGTCTGCATCCCCCCAAAACACTACTTAATATATATTCCTTAATCAAGGCCTGATTGCCTGAATGAGCTGTGATGTGAGGCTTGGTTGGTGGTTGAGATCTGGGTATATTGCCTACCTTAGACAATAACTTAAGCTTATTGATGAACTGATGCGGGCATAACTTGACAACAGTAAAAGAAAGGAGAGAGCTAACTGTAAAACACAAATTGTTTATCTGTAACAAATATCACAAGGAATATGGCAAAAAATATGCTTCCACCATCATACCATCCATCTTTTACACCCTAAATCGTGGAAACAAGAATAATCATGGATCCTAATCAGCCAAAGTGTTATTTAATCAAAATTATATCCCAGTTGAAACTTGGTGGGTAAGACAAGATGACTACTACATGTTCGAGAGAAAAAAAAAGGACAAGATGACTACCCATGGAGACGAGAAAAGATCATCAGAATGTCATAAAGATACCTCTGTTGCCATGCCCAGTGATAATGATATAGCAGCAGCTACCATTAGAATTACAAGAGTTAAATCCTGACAGGCTTCAAATACAAAATACTGCAGATAAGGAAATAATAAATATTAAATTTGAAGACACAAGTTGTATGTTTCAAGCAATGAAGTGCTAGTGAATAATAAATATCACTTACGTGTTAATTTGTGTTCTAAAGTTTTCATTTTGAAAATACCACATGTAAATTTAGAATTATCAAATCTTTATTTGTTCCACAACATAATTAACATCCTATCTCGGTGGCGGAATAAAGAGGAAGTATTGTTATCAAATCATCTAGTCAACCATAGTCGCCATGGGACCGACCAGCTGACTAATCGTGGTTACCGATTAGGAGTCTAGTTGGTCCGAATTGCCCATATAGTCGTCCTGTGCACTCCAGGACTAATATACCATATAGGATAAAAGCAAGCAGAAAGAGTCTAAAAGCACTAGGGCACAGATTCTTGTGAGATTTGATGGCCAGTTGGCCACTTATCCACATTGGCACATTTGCACATACGTGTAAGCACTAGGGCACTGATATACCATATAGCATCAGCCACATAGGTGCATGTAAGCACTAAGCAGAGAGTAGCAGCATAAGCATGAGGTACGAACAGCAGCAGCAGTAGAGCTAGAGCAGCAGCAGCAGAGCAAGAGGCAAGAGCAGCAGCAGAGCTAGAGCAAGGGAGTGTTGCAAAGGTGCAGGGCAGAGCACAAATCAAACGCACACGCAGCATAGCAGCAAGAAGATGGAGGACGATTGGAGGACTCGATGAGGAGCTCATCTTCAGGATGGCCAGCCTACCAGCTCGCAGAAGTCCAGTTGCTCAGGCAGCCCAATGCACAAAGTGAAAACTAGTCGTTTTCCATCCTAATCAGACGACTAATTAGTCCGACGACTTGGAATCTGGTCGGAAATCGTGTCGGTAAACATAATTGGGGTCATAACACCGGACGACTTAATAACACTGAGGAAACATTGGAAAATATAATACAGCTCCCTAGAATAAATGAACTAGGAGTGGTTATTACAAAACAGAGGCTTAGAAAATTGTGTACCCAAACGCTTCTTCTTTCCTTGCGTGGATATGTGTTTGCCCCAAAAATATCTCTCCTCCGCATCAATTCATTCTCATCTGGACTAACTCCTTCGTCTAAGTCACTCTTTAGTAAATCTGAAAGCCCCTTAACCTAAATGGGAGCATTCTGTAAGAAATATATCATCACCGTAGAATGAAAAGTATGAAAATAAGATACAGATCCAAGTAAATTTTCAATTGAACCTACCCCTCCAACCTCCTGGAATATAATAGTGTCATGGTCTCTGTTCAGCATTTTGAGTTTTTTCAGATCAACTGAAAATCTCTGAGAGAGCGTCTCATCTTTTATGCTAGTGCAATACTCTGCTTAGATAAAAGCATTAAAAACATCACAATTGTATTTAACTACAATTAATCCAGAGAGAGAGATTTATTGGATTTGAGGGAATCATTTTTTATTGGATTATATGGTGACAAAATTGAGATTGTTCAAGGTAATACATGTTGTGATAAAGCACGTGAATAAATATGACATATAAGGCCATATGATCAGGAAAATGTGAGAGCGGTACAAAGCTGAGGGTCACTCAGATGTAAGAGACTTAGCAAATTTAGCATATGAAATGAAAGAAGAAATTTACAATGGCATTATGATTACTACCAAATGGAAGAGATTTAATAATGACATGTCACTATTCACATGGGATTTCCCTTATTACATGACCATTTTACAAGGATGGTGGAATCTTCCATTAAGCTTAGAAGTTAGACGATGAAAGCAGTACCTCCTAGGTTCTTCTGGCCAGCCTCCTTGAAAAGAAATACTGCCTGAAGAATTCAGAATTGGAATAAAAAATGTATTTACTTCAGAAAAGAAAAGTGTTCCTTCAAATAGCAAATAAGATATTACTCGTATCACTTGTGCATGGGATCGTAACATTCTTCTTAAGTTCTCTTTCTCTTCCTTTCCAGGTCTAGAGTGTATCTAAAACGACGAGAAGCATTGAGCACCAGAGCAGCTTGCTGAAATGAAAAGTGAAAAGAGAACATGCAGTCATAAGTACAGCCTCCTATCGAAGGATGAAACAAACTTTACTAATGTTTCTCGTAAAAGTGTACATGGTGGTTAGGAGTAACAAGTATTAGGATTCAAAACTTGTTACTATACTCAAGGGGAATTACATAGCCAACAAACTTTCTGATTTCCACGAGTGTACATACAGTGATACAGGAGTATTCAGAATGCAGTATACCATCGTTCTACTGAATACAAGGCTGCCCCAAGCTTCAAAGTAATGTCTCTTAACATTAAAACCTCGAGGCAGGTGCCCAAAGACTTGTAGCTTAGCACGAACTGATCCTTCCATCAGTACCCAGCATTCATCCAAGATAACTCTTTAATTCAGTGAAGACCATCAGAAGCAGAGTATAAATCAATCACAAAAAAGGTGACAATTGCGACGCAAAGCAGATGTCCCACGCAAGAATGGACTGCACAGAGGAGTCTGAAGGAACTTCTCAAGCACAAGCACATTCTCGAAGGGGGAAAAAAAACTCCACCATAAACTGGTAGTACAGGGATGAACAAACTAGTAGTTTTCGAAAAATCCTATCATCATTTAACACGGCATCTACCAATATACTCCCTCTGTTTCAAATTATAAGTCGCTTTGACTTTTTTTTTTGGTACATCCATATCTACATGCATACCAAAATAGATGAACAAACAACTCAAAGTAAAATGAATGAACCAACCAAATCAAAGCAACTTATAATTTGGAATTAAGGGAGTACCAAGTTACCAACTACGGCTGTTTCGCGGTGTGGACCGCAATGCGCAGGTTTGAGCTCAACTGCTCGAGCGTATGGTAATTTCATCCCGAACTAAAAAAACGCTGAATTTGAACCGAACTGTAGTAGTGGAGACGCCGTACCCTCCACCATCGCAGTTGATCCTGCGACGCGTTCTTACTGGGTATCTCGAATGCGTCCTCTCCCTCCAGCACCTGCTCCTCCTCATGCGCCGGCGGCGGCGAGCTCCCCGTCACCGAGGCCATCCGCACCCCGCGCAGCGCCTCCGCCTTGGCAGATGGCAGGACCCCGCGAAGCCGAGGCACTGATCACTGCGCAACAACACAGCAGCACGCACAGGGCCGCCCGATCGGCCATATCAGAACGACAAGGATCTACGACGACGCTGGAAGGATCGAGATACCGGCGGCGGCGGCCATCGCCTCACCTCGGACTTCGCGTGCGCTCCAACGGATTCGCCTCCGGCTCCGCCTGCAACGCCAGGTACCCCTCCCTCTTGCGGTGTGAGCGAGCGCGAGTGCGTGACAGTCTGCGTGCGCGCGGGTTTTCTGCTCTTTTTATCGGGGAGCCGTTGCGACCAGTGCAGCGTAGGAAGCTTCCACGAAAGGCACTGTGCGTCGCTTCGACCGTTATACTGACATGTGGGGCGGAACAGGATGGCCCGCAGGTCAGTCTTGGAAAAAGAAAGCCAACGGTTCGTTCTTAAGGTTTGATTTTGCTCTTTTTTAATAGGGCGTGGTTAAGTTCCGACCCTAGGCCCCGTCCGCAGGCCAGCATCGCTGCCCCTCGTCTCGTGTCCTGCGCATGCTTACCCACATACCCGCCCGCAAGCACGTGGGGTCCACCCACTTCAGTTGGGACACTGCCTCCGTCTTTCTGCGCCAGACACCGAGGCGAGACACTAGAAAGTCGAGGAGGGAGATAGTTTTGAAACATCCATGTGCACCAATTACAACATACGACTGAAAACAAATGAAACGTTTGAAATATGCGTGTTTCAAAAACACCAAAAAAACACTTGAAACCATTGTAAACATACGCAACATTCAGATAAAACACTTGCATCATATATGTGAAAATATATACAACATTTAGATAAACACACTTGCAACATACGTAAAAAAAATAGATGAAACATTGAGAACAGGAGCTTGCAACATACGTGTACAACCATTACAATATGTGCAACATCCCGATCTACTTTTACGACATCCGTATGAAACAGTTGCAACATACCTGTCAAACATTTGAAGCACTTGAAACAAACGCTTGCAACATGCGTTTTTCACCCTTCTTCAGTATGACGCAGCGCAGAGCGGGGGACAACCGGTTCCAGCCAACTGCAGCCGAGGATGGTGGCGCGGCCTGGCAATGGCCAATTGCGCCTGCGCAAGCCTAGGCCTGGCCAACAACGCCCCCTCTCCTGGCTACCTGCCAACCTGGCCTGGGCGCGGTGAAGGATGGAACACGGCAGCGCTGCGTGGGACGGAGGTACCGCTACACTCGCCGAGCACATGCATGGAGCTTGGAGGCGGAGGGCAAGGCGCCGGCGACTGGGTCCGGCGGCAGCTATAGTCGGTGGGGCGGCTGGCAGTGTACCTCACGTGGAGGATTCCTCTCCGCGGGATGCGGGAGACGCAGGTGCCGCGGGGATGGGGGGCGCCGTGGGGGATGGCGGGCGGCGGCGGCGGCTGTGGCGCGCCGGAGTGGGCGGCGGAGCGGGATGGAGGCGGAAGCATGGCGGATTGGGACGGTCAAACGGTCGCATGGTGCCCTAAAGCCATGACGCACGAGCAAGGAATTGGGGAGATGAGTTTCTGTGGGGATTTGTTTTTTTAGGCGAGCTGCGTGAGTAGAGCGAGGCGTTTGGTCTTCTAGACGTCTTAATGGTAGCATTATCATTTTTAATATATATATACTCACTCCATTTCGTTGGAAGTTGTTAGCTTTTTATGTATATATGTTTGTACTATGCATCAAGGTATATATTATATCTAAATAAAAACTATGTATCTAGAAACGTACGTAAAAACGCCAGAACGACTTTATAGTTTGGAATTGAGAAAGTATATATTCTCGCCCATTGGATTAGTTGGTTGGCTGCGTGAGTCGCATTTGCCTTTTGTGCCAAACACTGAACCGCAGTAAAAGGTTTTCTAGAGACGGGGCCCATTTCATCCTTAAATAAGCTGAAAGATGGAATATGGACAATACCCTACAAAACATGTATGTCATTGAAAAACACATTGCAAACAAAGCGTAGCTCAGCTTCTTAATCTTCTTGCGGTGGAATTTACACGACCGGGTTCGAGTTTCTGACCGATACAACCGGATTTGAGTTTGTAACTCCTCGCATTTACAGCTAACTATTCTTTTCGTAGTATTTGTTAATCTCAACATATATTGGCTACAAGAAAGAACCATTGTAATTTTACTTGTAAAAAACATGAGCAAGAGTTATTTACTGGAACTAGTTGAAAATGCTTGTATGCAAGACTCTTTTGCCCCTTGTCTCAAAAAAAGAAGACTCTTTTGCCCCCATTTTTGGTTTTCTTCAGTTCTTTTGTTCTTCATGATAATGCAGGAACCAGTCCTTACTCCGTAGGTTTCAAATGTCAAAATGATGAACTGCTCGGTCATTTCCCTAGCGTCTTGGTTGACAGCCAAGAGACATATCTGCAGTTCAACCTCAATAATAAACATATGCATGCATTTCCCACACTACTACAGAAACGTTTTTTAGGGGCGGCTCGTAACCCTTTGTAGAGACGGTTTGGTTAGCCGCCCCTACCGAACCGTCTCTACAAATCATGCATTTGTAGGGTGGTTTTCAGGCCGTCCCTACAAATCGATTTGTAGTACCAGCCGTCCCTACAAATTGATTTGTAGGGGTAGCTGATTTGAAGCCGCTCCTACAAATCGATTTGTAGGGGCGGCTGTAGTCCCAGCCGTCTCTATAATATCTGTTTGTAGTGGCAGTTCAATCTAGAACCGTCCCTACAGTACGTTTTCCCGTCAAAAAAATTTAAATTTACAATTCAAATTCGACCAGAACACTGTTTGTTTTCGCGTATTCCATCCAGCGTTCGCGTTGCCGAACGCCCTGCGACCAGCGTTCTGAACCGCGTTCGCGTTGCCAAACGCCCCGCGACCAGCGTTCCGAACCGCGTTCGCGTTGCCGAACGCCCCACGATCAGCGTTGTCGAACTACAAGCACAAGAGTATTATATAAACTACAATTATAAGTTTAATTCACAAGAATATATACAATCCATCATTAAATATACAAATTCCATACACATTGTTATCAACGTCCTAGAGCTAGCCTTTCAGTCTCACGAATGTGTTGGTACTGAGGATTTCTATCTAAGTCAGACTCTCGGTCATGGTAGGTGCCTTTGACGTGTACAATATGGTCCAATATGAAGTTGCAAAGGTCGCCGACGAGCTCTAAGAGTTGGTCATCCTTGTATGGGTCTCTTTTCATTCATTTCTCTTCTTTCCACTACAAGAGAATAAATTTCGGTTTAGTATTTCATAGCATGTACGAAGTTTTTATACTACGGGTGAAGAGGTTCAAACTTACCCTTAAGGGGTGTCTCCTGTAGGCACCGGTGTTACTCATCATAGAACATATATAGTATCCACAATGTACACCCACATGCTTTTGCTTGGGGCACTGTGTGTTTTGTATATGAAAATGTTAAGTAATGCTTTTGACAGCCATGTAATTGAGTACTGAAGAAGTAAGTTACACTTACCGCATATAGTGTTTTTATAGCCAACTTTTCTTTCCTTGCTGGATCATGCCTTCCGTGATGTTTAGTGACGTAGAACCTAAATGCTCTGTTCAAATTATTTTAGCAAAAACAACTTGTTAGTATCCAAAATTGAACGTTACAAGTATGTATACAAACATATAAGCAAATGAGGATTGTCGATATGTATACGTCTTTAGAATCGATATGAAGTCTTTGTATGTCACCGAGTCCCTATCTATTGAATCAAAGACTCGTGCCATGCTCCTCCCGACATCGACGGCTATACAAATCCAGTGGTTGCTGCATGGATTTAATCATAGAACTAGATAAGCTCTTTTGCATCGAATAAAATATATCAAACAAAGCTTTAAGTATAGAGTTGAACTTACTCGAAGTTGTATGGTAGCCATATAGTAGAGTGATGTTGGAGAATTTTGAAAGCCAGGGCAATGTATGCCGCAACCTTAAGGGACTCTTCCCTTAGTTTCACCGTACGGATGTGCTCTTTCTCCCGAAGAGTCTTTGCAGCAGCTAGCTCTTTGGCATCCAGTTTCCACTGTTTAGGGTAATTAAAATTTGTTTGGGCTATAGCTTGAGGGTCTAGATACCCGGGTTTCACACTTGACAATTGTTTGACAATGTACACTTGCATTCCACAAATCACGGCGTGAGTTAGTTACAACAAAATTCAAAGATTACATTCATATCATATCGGGAGGACAAGGACTTATAGGCACCACGTGCGAATTAGATTCATCTCCATTGCTCCCAGGTGAAAGCATGTCTGCATGTCATTGAAGTCAAAGACAATTTTCCCGGCTAGGCTTCCAAATGTGCCGGTGGGGAAGCATGCTTGTATGATGTCTATGCTCGTTGGGAGAACAACCAAGTACCAATCATGGAACCTTCTCATCCCAAGTGGTAGGCGTTGGATGTCCCGGTTTGGTAGGAAGGGCTTGCCTCTTTCATATGTTTTCGAGCAATCCTTTGACCATTTGATGGAATCAGCATTTGGATACTGCTTTGCAATTTGGTGGAGTTTGTTAGTGACGGCCTCCTCAGAACCCCGTGATGGGACTTTTTTAACTTGGTTCTCAGGCTTGAACTGGTCATGGGAATACCACTTGGGCATCGACGAGACGTCTTTCATAGGAACATAAACTAGCCTTATGGTGATTGGATGCTTCTTTTGAAGTTCTCATTCAGGCACGTCCTCATCTTCTTGTGCATCACTTTCTTCAAGAGGCACTTGTTGTTCATGTATCGACTGTGCTTGTTGAGAAGACTGTGGCATCTCATCATGCACTTGCTCGGTACGAGCTGGAGAAGGTTGTGGCATCTCATCGGACACATGCTCGCTAGGAGGCGAAAAAGAATGTGGCATCTCAGGAATGTGGTGGTCACGAGATGGTGGAAATATCTCCCCGACCTCAACAACTCGCTCCAAATTTGGGAGAGGGGGAGGCGGCAAAGAAGCAGTCAAT